ACCACTTTTGCGTCTTCTGCTCAGACCCTCTTTATATAAATTTAGCCATAGTTGCATGTTTTTCTTGTGCTTTATTGTGCTTGTGTCTGCTATAGTTATAATCTATGACACCCACTAATCATTATGTTATAAATTGCACATATTAAATTGCAATATTCATCTAAAACAACTTAATAAAAGAAACAAGCCCACTGACTTCTGAGGTAGAAAACTGCAGTGCCCAATAGGAGCTGACGGCACAGTAAACATCACAACAAAGAGCCATTTAATTGTCAGCACTTGCTATGGATAGCTGCACCGAAAAGTGACACAGTGCACCTTTAACTGCTTTCAATCTGTCTTGTAGAACACAAATAATAAAAAATATTCTGAACATATACTTAAGTCTTTGTGTCCTGGTTGACTTTGGAACCGTGCAACTAAATACATAAATAATTTAAAACATCTGAAATTTCCTTCTCCATGAAATCTTTTTGAGCAAAACCCAAACTCTCTTGACCTTTGAATTATTTATGCCTCTACAACTGTCAGTCTCACGTTTCATCTGATCTTAAGAAACACATTTTTCCAAGTGAAGAAAAAAAATCTGTACTTTTAAAAATCTTTTATTGAGACCTCCGGCTGTGATGAACAAAGGCCTACTGCTCACACATACAGCTACCTCTCACTGTAGGCACTCCCGGCAGGCCCTCGCACTCCTCTGCTGCCCCCTGGTGTGATGAAGCTCTGGGTAGTGTGTTTTTGTGTGGACGATCCCAGAGGACATGCAGAAGAGAAACAGGAAGTCCCAGCATCTGCAAGGACAAAAACAAAAAAGTGAAAAAAAAAAAATTGCTTTGGTATTATTAAAAAAAAATTCAAAATAAAGTATCATGTCTTTTGAATGATAGAATGATTGAAATGATTGAAAAGGTATTTAGTTACAGAATAATGAATACTTTTCTCTTGTACTGTATTCTGAATACTTTCACTTTGCATTATATTACAGTGTAAAAATGTGACATATAGGATTGAAGCAACTTTTTATTTGAAAAATTAAAAATAATTGGAAAACTTTATTCTTACCTGAGGGGCAATGCTGTTTAGAGTCACAGATTGCAGCATAAAAACACACACACAGGTCAGGTGCTTGTACAATATGGACATCAGAGCTGGGCATAGTAATTATATAAGTGCAAATGAGGCATACAGTGCAACAATGTCATAAAGTGCAAAGGCCAGATACAAAACAGAACATAACTTGTATTTTGATGCTCTGTTACTAATGCATTTGTGTAGTGCCATAAGAGAATTTTTTTTTTTTTTTTTTACTAATATTGTGCAATTTGAAGCCACAATTGCATGCATCGAATATTGCTATTTATTCCTTTGACTTTAATGTATAGTTAAGTGTAAACTATATTACGAATACAACCTAACAAAATGCTAATAGCTCAACAGTGACCACCCACTCTGATTCAGAAAGTAAATGTAATTTTTTTTCCATAGACTTAAAATATTAAGACTTCAAAGGCATCGCAGAGGCTAACCAGTTATGTGCTGACTAATATCCATAATGTGGTTGTTCGGGGCATGTCCAACCATGAGGAGGCCCCGGGGAAGACCCAGGAAGACCCCCGAGAAGAGCCGGAGGAAGTGTACGAGAAAAGGGAAGTCTGGGCCTCCTTGCTCAGACTGATAAAGTGTAAGAAAATGGATGGATGGTTGTTTTAAGTCCAAAAGGGCAATTTAAAACAAAGAGTCAGATTTTTGTGTTAAACGCTTGAATGAAACAAAACACAACTAGAGGTATGTTTTTGATGATTTTGAGGTTTTTGCAAAACATAACAGAAAATAGTGTAATATAGGCCCTTAAAATTACCCTCCAAAATCTCTAATAAAACATGAAACAATTAACTGACTCTCCAGCTCTTTGCCCATGCCTGTGTCCCTGACTGTGTGAGGTCATGCAGGGGTCACATTGGGTCACTCAGGGGTCACAGCAGGGTCACAGGGCACAGGATAATTGTTCTGACCTCTCCTCCGAGCAGGTCCAGGTGAGGTCCAGGGAGAGAAGGATGAACCCTGTTAGCAAAAACTTTTAAGAGCTACTTCACATTCACAATACCAGAGACACATGAAATATTACTCAAAGCAACATGGTTATGAATATCAATATGGATCTGTAGTGCATATTAGATTGCCATATTAGATTATATGTGGGTTTTATATGGTCATAACAAGAGCTCATCAAAAGGCTATTTATCCAAAATCATATATATCAAAGACTTATCTTAAAGGTTCTATATTAATGCCAAATTTACTTTTGTGAGCTTTAAGTCATATTATAATCTTGTTTTGTTTTTTGTTTTTTTCTTTTTATTTACACGTTTGAGTAACTCTGCATTATTAGTCTGTCTCCATCTCCAAAGCTCAGCATGCTCTGTTCCACCTTGTGATGTCATGAAGCTGTAATTTTCAAGCTAACAGTTACTCTTTACCTTTAGTTCAGTAGAAATTGGCAATTCCAGGGCTGAAATCATCCAAATGGTTCTAGTGACGGTAAGGAGTTTAAAAACACAGTAAACACTTCCTGTGTAAGTGTATTCCGTTTGAGAAGCCTAAATATGCAAAAAACGTTGGTTAATGCTATTTTTGACTGCAATTTTATGTGTTAAAGCTTTGTTTAACAGCACAAATCAGCTCACGTAGTTTCAGCTAAGTCAGTTCTTTGTGGTCAGATTGTGTAAAAATAAAGCACAGATTAAAGTCTAATAAGTATAAAGTAGTATAAATAAGTATAAATTGGTAACTAGTGAACTTAGAATGACTTTGTGCATCAAAACAAGTCAAGACCAGTTGAAGTGATCCACCGTTACTCCATTAGAACTGTGTGTTGTGTAATAATAATAATCCAAAGACACACACCACACCCATTCATGACTAAATGGAGAAAGAGAATGCTCCTCAGGCCATTCATTCATTTGGGCCAAAAGATTACCGTACAAAACATCATGGCATTCTGTATATAATGTTATTAGATAGAACAGACTGGCAATACTAGTCCTCATGTCTAGGAACATCAGGAAACTGTCAGTTCTCACTTTGTGTAATGGTATGAAAGATATCATTTATGACGACCCAAATAACATGTGTAGATCAGCTTCAAATCTATATACATTTGAACAAAGTTTAATTATTTTGAATGGAAACTTGCTTAGTTCCGTCAGAGTTGAGTAAGAAAATTAAGTTAAAATAATCATATACGTTGACCAGATAGAAATACTTAAATACTATAAAAACAAAATAAATACATTTTAATAATGCTATAAAAATTTTACAGGGGAAAATGTGGATACCCAAATATAAAAAAAAAAGATGCTGGCAAGAGTTTAAAATGCATGTGACAGATAAATATATTTTTCTTATAACACCTGTGGTAAATATTTCTCATATTTTTATGTCAGATAAGTGACAGATGGTGAAGACGAGTAGAAAACAATGTTGGAAAACACAGGAAGCAGCAGTGTTCTAAAACAGAATCCCTCTACCTACATCATCAACTGTCGTCAATTAGATCCAAAACATTGCTTTAACAAAATAAAGTTGATGCAATTTATTTTTATTAGTCTAATCATAAATATTGTGTTCTTTAGCTAAGGAATGGCCCTTGTTTGCATTATGGTTACTATCATTTACTGTGTTTCTACACACGTCATATCTGCTGTCCATGTCTAACCTAGTCTGATTCACCTGCCGGTTTTACTTCGTTTCACTTCGTACAAACCGTCTGACCTCGCAGCCTTAGATTTTGTTCACTCAATGGTAGGTGGGTACTTTTGATCATTTAACCAATCGCTGCTATTTGGTCATGACATTTGTAATGCGCCACCCACCGGGGCTAAGCTTGTATATTAAGCTTTTCCCAAATCTCATAGGAAGAAGGGCAATAAGGTCTTTCCCCTTGATGAAATTCACCAAACATTCTCTTTGTTCCGGCTTTAAATCCTTGATCTCAGGAACTACTGACAACACTGAATATATGGCCCTTTGCTGATTGGCTGGTGCTGAACTTGCACTTCCGGGGTTTTTGTGAACCGTCTATTGTATTTTGAGTTCTGACCTAGTCACTGGAGAGAAATGAAATTGAGCGGAGGCACCAGGTGGCGCCAGCCGGGCTATGTCTAACCAGGAAGTAACCAATAATATTTACCAAAATGACTAAACAAGAAAAGATTAGGCTAAATGTTTTTTAGTAAAATCTAAAATCTCATGATGTTAAGCATGTTTTAGAGAAATTAGTAGTGTAGCCTGTCATCTGCACTTTAACTTTCTGTATTGATTTATTTGTTTTCAGTCAGAAGATCTAAAATGAAAATCCACAATGTCAACTTCAAATTTCTTTCCAATAATCTATCCAATAAACCAGAAAATGTACAGATAAGCAATAGTAAATTCTGCTTAAAGATGAGATTTTATGCATGCCTGAAGGGCAATAGGATGTCATTCATGCATGTTGGATGCTGCCTTCATGTGCTCTCAGACTCTGAAAAACGGGAATGAACTTAGGTCAGAATTTCTGAGATCTGACAAGATCAGGCATGGACAATGTTTATCCGCTATTTGCCTACAAGAAACAACATATCCATTACAAAATATTCTGTCACAACAACTGGGGATTTTTGACCAACTTTCCAATGAATTAGCCCACAAGCCTACGTCATCCATGCTCCCACACAACAATTCTCCATAAACATGATACAAAACTGCACACAACTCAGTCCTGATGCGATGTGCAGTAGTTTCATTACAGATGTACGCTGATTGTGTTGTGATAGCGCTCTGAAGGGGAAGTGGTTTAAGGGAGAGACTCAGAGCTTCAAAAATGAAAAGTGAAACCTACAAAACACGTCAATACCTTGTTTTCAGCTAATATCATTATCAACAGAATTTTCAAAATAAATGGGAACATGAGGATCTCCTGGAAATATTCCCAAGAATATAACAGAAACATACACTGGTTTAGAGCTGAAGTTTCTTTCTATAATATATTTATCAAACACACAACAAAATCTGCAGAAGAACAATTTAAACACACACAATTCAAAATGCAAAATTTCTTAAGCATCATTTACAACATATTTCACACTTTGAGTTCAAACAACATTTGAACAGAAAACCTCTCTACTTCGCTGTCAACCATGTTTTGCACCATTGTACTCGAGTCATTTTGAACTGTTTTGACATGATCTGCTAATGTGTGGACTTGAAATGGTTCTCGTCAATGGTGGAGAAAACATGTCCTTCATTTATCAGGAACGCCAAGGACTTCCTATGAGGGCACATAAACAGGATAGAGATTCAGTCATTTCAATTTGTTTCATTTAGTGTCAATGTTATTAACCAAAACATTATGTAAAAGTTGTCAAGGATTTTAGCATATTTGCGAGCAGAGGTGGCGAGAAGTACTTTTCTGGGTTCAAGTACATTGATCAGTTGGTTGGTTAGTTAGTATCTGTGGTAAGTATTCATTGTAGTTTTACATCAGTTACAGTTACATCAGGTGGTGAAGAAATTGTACTTTATTCAGTAGTTTTCAGACAACATACTTTTACTCCTACAAATACTTCTATAATATTACATATACTATAACTAAAAAAAAGTTAATCAATGACCACTAAAACTATGACTGAAAGTAGAGATGTTTTTTTGGCAAATACATTGGAAATGAACAGAGAGAAGAGACAATTGCTGAGTATTGCTGTAATGTTTGGTAGTTGACAGAACCAAATATTGCGTCATATACTAATAAAAATCATGGGTTTATTTGTGTCTAAAGTCAGGTTAGTGAGTTCAGCAGTACCTAATTTCCTGAATACCAATGTAGTCCAACAGTGTGACCAGGTCCTGGAAACTGATGCCCTCTCGTTTCACTGAGTGCTGTCTGATTACATGCCACACCTATAACAATACAAAACACACTTACACAGTATAGTAAATGAAAAATACATGGCATGTTTTGACTAGTAGATATGCTTTTTATATATATATATATATATATATATATATATATATATAAAGATGTAGACTAAAGATGTTTTTGTGTTCATTTACACAGGGTTTTTGAGTGAATAAAAGAAGTATATATACTAACCTGTCCCTGACTGATGGACAAGTCTGTTGTTGTGTATTCTTCAGATGTTTCGGGCACATAAGACACTGGTAATGCATTCATATTCACATCACAACTCTAGAAGAGATAAGATACAACAAGATTAAGAGTAAAAATATATATTAAATTGCTGTTAATATCTTTCTGTACCTCTCCAAAGAGCTGCTTGTGAGCATATACCACTTCTAACATATGGGAGGTGATCTCATTCATATCTGTGACACAGCGGATGTTCATAGCCAACAAAGACTTTTTACCCTAGAGAAAAATAGGAAACATGTCACACATGACTTGGTAAACCAAATTTATGTTTATGAAATGCAATTTTTAAAATAAAATTTTAAAAAAAAATGTGTTACTAGGTAAATCCGCAGACTCCCATGCACTTTCACATACACTCCTGGTTCAAGGTCCACCTGATCGGAAGAATCCTAAAAAAAATATGTATTAATGTATTGAATGTGTGCTATTGCTATTGTTTATTATTAAGCCTGACTGAAGTAGATCAGAGGTAGAAATTTTGTAGAAAAGCAGTTGTAGAAAGATTGTAGAAACAGCTTTTTACATAATTTGATAGTTTAGACATCTGCATCTAATTAGAAAGTGCTTTATAATTTGATAATCAGGATGTGTGTGAAAATCTTTTAAAAATCTTCTAGTTTCCTGAATGACCATAGAGTATATTCAGGCTGCAAACATTACTGAAAGGCCATGTAATGACTAACATCTGCATTGAACCACTGGCGGACAGTCAGAGGAGGCCCGGTCATGTCATCCACAAAGTACTGGTTGTAGGTAGCACAGGGAGAAGACCTGCGGATAATGCCCACCAGAGACACCTGCACAAAAGATATGATTTAAAATAGACCAAAACACAGTTTATCTGCTGTTAACAATGAAATATTTATGGGTCAGACTGAATGGGCTGAATGCACAAGGATATGCAGTCTCCATGGTATTGAAAACAATAAGGTTCATAACTTGCAAAGGCTTTTTGATACAGTAAGATTAAAATGTATTTTATTAGACATATTTATACAACTTCCAATAATCAGATCACTTATAATTGGTATAAATATAAATACACTATAATTTTGCATTTCCAGTGTACAAATGCAGTCGTTTCTATTACAAATAAGGGGAGGCAAAAAAAAAATTTCTTTAACATATAGTATACCCAGCTATATTAAAACAGGCCTGAAAAGGGAAGGCTCACATTCGGAGAGCAAATTTCATTATAGGGACCAATAATCGTGTATCTTGTATGTATAAAACTAAATTAACATGATCATTATTTAGATTATATTAGATTTAGTATTATCTTTGAATTGATTGCTTGTTGCATACCTGGTTGAGCTCCAGATCCCCAATTGCAAAGACCTCATTGTGGTCCAGAGAGGCAGATAGAAGCTGGGACACTGTACAGGGCAGGATCTGGAGAGTGGCTTTCTGCATTCAGATCAGCCCATTAATAATGCTGCTTTCAGTTCCACGTTGGAAAACTCTAAACTTTGAGCTCTCTTCCAACTACACACCTTCGTCACTGCTGCTTTGGCTCCTGTCTGCCAGCCTGAACCTGGAACCTCATTGTAAGTGTCTTTCAAAACAAATTAAAGATTAAACATTTTAAATACATTGAAATTGTGATGTACTCTGATTTGGTTTTACCTTGTTTCCACATGTTAAAGATGACATTAGTTTGTCACATTATCAGGAACCAGAAACAGAAGAAGAGAAGCCAAGCCTAAACCTGCTCAGGTGAACTGAATTAGAACAATCACAATCAGGAAGGACTGACAAAGATATATATGTTTTTAAGTTTTATTTATTCAAATCCATCAATGCAACAGTGATTGACAGGTTATTGAAAATATGTAGCAGAGAAAATTTGTTAAAAAAGAGAAAGAGGTTTGGTTTGGTATCGGTCGGGAAATTACAAAGACGATGAAGCAGTAAAACTAGGCATCAAGTCATCAAGCACTGATGAAATTTTTTTTTTCACTTTTTTGCAGTTTTTACACATCATAAATTGCTTAGAAGTGTGCCAAAAGCATGGAATTAAATGTGGGTGTCAGTTTTGGCAAGCTAATGCGGCTATACACTGCAAAGAATAAAAACAGTAACACAATTAACTTTTGGTGCAGGAATTTAGGATATGAAACTGAGTATTTAAGTTACTAGTAATTTGGATCAAGAAGGCATAGACATTTACATGTTTTATGTATTATAATTACATATATTTTATTTTTTTAACCAGTTTATGTGCCAGTAGATTTCACTTGCATATTTCTGCTGTAATTTCAATTTTGAAATAAGAAAATACAATATCATAAACAAAATAGAGCTCAGATTGTGGCTCGGATTGTGACGTCACACCTGATAGAATTTGCAGTTATCCTAATGTTAAATTAATGGGGATTTTAAGACGCTAAATACTAGCCTTACTATTCATTCAAATGCCATCATCTGCAAACATGGCAAATTTCCTTGGTAACAGCATTTTTTTGGGGGGGGGCATTCCATCTCAAGCTCTATAATTGCAACTTTTCCGAATTACTCAAATCAATTCATATTTTGAATCAACCTCAAATATTATTTTTCCTGGACCATCTCAATGGGTCTACATATATACTAACGTATTAGGCAGTGAGAGTTGGCCAATTAATACGAAATAGTACACTACAGTGCCACTAACTGCCACAAGGGAGTGCCAAAATTCACATTCACAAATTTCATCAAATGTCAATCAAGCCAAGTAGAAATCACCTGATGCCTAATCGAAATCGTACGAATCATGAATTTTGGAATTTTGTGGTTAGTTTCATAGTTCCATTTCCAGTCCAGCAGAATCAACCCACGTAATTCCAGTTTTCAAACAATATGCCAACAAAACAGAATTCTCACAAACACATTGACAATAATAACCCTTCAAATAGAGCACATCTTTCATGATTGACATAAACTTAAAAATAATGAGTTGAAGAAACCCAACACAACTTTATACAAACAGGTGGGGCCCTAGAAAACAGAGCACAGCCAGTTTAAATGTACAATAATGACCTTGTTCATCCCGTTACCCTATACAGTCTATACACATGTGCAAACAAATAACATGATAAAACAATGCATGGAGCTAGCGTGGAGTTAGCATAATTTAACATAAGACTTAGTTAACTTTTTAAAAATGTTGTAGTTTGTTGTAAAAAATTAAACCAAACACATTATATAGACTGAATGTTCAAATTGAAATTCAAGGAGTCTTAAAATGAAAACAGTGAAATGAAACACCATATTGTGTTAAAAATGTGAAACTCACAAGTGCTGAAAAACAATTTAAATAAAATCCATTATAATGTCTGTGATTGACAAACGAATGACAAACTTGTACAGGATTGTGGAATACATTCTGAACGTTTTTTTTTTTTAAGCAAAACAATGGAGTAGAACAATAAAAGACTGAAAAAATAAAATAAAATGTCGTCAATGTGTGTGTATTGCCATATTTTATCTACATTTCAGCTGTGTCCTTCATGGCAAGCAGTTCTTTGAAAGCATTTGTGGCAATGACCAGATAGCAATCAGGCAAACAATAACAAATAAGTAGTGACGCAGATCAGGCTAGCATAATGACTGATCAAAAGCACACACCGTAATGTTTTTTAGTGACAAAGAAAATGGACATTCAACATTTTCACTTTTTATGATGCCAGATATGGAGCTCAGTAATGCCAAAGAGAAAATATAACTTTTCATGTTCCTCCATTTACCAGAGAAATAGCCAATTGTGTTAACATGATTGCTAGCTAAGTATTTTGGCAATGAATAGCCCACTGTTGGAGCAGTTAAAACACATTTCTGCTAGTTAAGGGTAATGAGGTCTCAAAATTTGCTAAATTTGCTGTTTAGTAAAAGTCTAACGTTACAGCTAACAAGGACTTCAAACCTTTGAAATCAAGTAGGCTACCATTTTGGGATTTACAAGTAACAAACCTAAAAACAGGCCTTGGATCAGGACCATATACAGACTAAACCATCCAAGATCCAGATTAACCATGTCTAAACCAGAACAAAAGATATATGGTGGATTATGGAACTTTTCCTGGTGGAGAGTACTGTAATGTTCCATAGTACATCAACGTTCAACATTTAATGCCATATTGAGGAACTTTCCATGCAAGGCGATTACATATCCATGGAGACAACCAGGTGGCAATTACAAACCAGGACAAACACTGAAAAGGGTGCGTGACCTTGTATAGTTCTGGTTTGAGCCCAGTTTAATCCTGGTTTAATCCTAGTCTAGTTCAAAATTAGTTCCAGGTTTAGATCTTAAAGGGCCCATATTACACTATTTTCTGATCTATGTTATAATCTTTCCTCAGCAAAAAAAATACCTGGACTTGTGTTTTGTTTCATTCACATGTTTAACACACAAATCCTACAGGAAAATAGGAACCATTACACTGTGTTTTTAAACATTTCCATACGTTTCAACACCTTCACTAGAATTATTTGGATCATTTCAGATCTGGAATTGCCAATCTCTACTGAACTAAAGGTGAGTAGTAGCTGGTGAAAACTACCGCTTCATTATATCATAAAGTGGAACAGAGCATTTTGTGCTTTGGAGATGTAGACAGACAAAACCAGAGTTACTCGCACGTGGGAATGAAACGAAACACAACTCCAGGCATGTTTTTGATGAGGTAACAACATTCTAACACGTCTTAAAGCTCACAAGAGTCAATTTTGCGTAGTATAGGACCATTAATCAAGATAAAGTACTGTGAAAATGTAAATGTAGCCTAGTTCACTTTTAAACTAAACTAGGTGTAAATCAGAACAAAGTCATTACAAACACCAAAGCAGATCCGAAACACGTCTAAAACAGGATTAAACCAGCTGTAAACCGGACTTGCAAAAAAAGGATAAAAGTAACAAATACACAACAGCAATTGAGCTCGGAGGCCTATATTACCAATGGTAACCGGAAAGAATGACATTTTCCACTCATTTTTGAAGGAGCCAGGACCGATTTTTGACACAGATTGTAAAAATTATGCATGACCTACAAGTCGAAGAGGTGCCTAAGCATGATCAGCTACCAAGTGCAGCAAGCAACCACTTAATAGGCTTAGGAATTAGTCCGTAGGAAGCATGGAGAATTAAGGATTACGACTGGAAAGCCCAAAGGAAACGAAGCAAGCGTTGGCACGGGGAGAAGAGATCAGGTTTAACAACAGTATTATGTGTTGAGAGGAAGAGGGGGAGAGGGTTTAGGGGAGGACTGGGGAGCTGGTGTGTTCACATATTGTAGGTGAGAGAATTCATAGACCGCTAGTTGACAGTGATGGGTAAACAAAAACTAACAGAGCAGAAACAATAGAGAAGAAAAAGAAAGGAACAGAAAAACTGGCGTAAAATAGAGGTGTAAAGATGATATGAATTTTAATTTAAGTGTCATGGGTTTATAAGCTTTTTGAACAAACCACATCTGATTTTACTATAACTCTTAGGGTTGTAACAATATCCAAGTCCCACGATACGATATTTCCACGGTCTGAACTTTACGGTACGATATTTATTGCAATATTTTGTAGAGGCTGCGAAGAAAACTGTTAATATGCAACTTTTTCCTCTTAAAATTCCTTGACAAGACTTAATCCAAAGAACGAAGACTTAAAAAATCTTTGAACTGTTATTTCTTCTTATAGTCTCCACTGAAATGGAGCAAAGGATCATGGTCTATGTAGTTTTTTTTTAGCTGTTGCTGCACCATAACTCTTAATTTAAGCAAAGAGACTTGTAATTCAATATATTGTGACGGTCCACGATATTATTATGGGAACTTTGACGATACGATATCACGATATTTCGGTTATTGTTACATCCCTAATAACTCTATAACAAAAATGTGAAATTGTATGCCCCATTGCTGGATACTTGTTGTTGTAGTTACAGGGGATAAAAAAAAGTACTGAATTAAACAGAGGTGCTGTACTGGACAATGATTACCCCATAATATTGAAGTTAATTTTACTTCACTTGCATATGCTTATAACAAGTAACATTTATTTTAACTTATTTTGCAGAGATGAACATACTGTGTCAACTGGTATACTCAAATTTAGCCAATACCATTTTTGCATTTTTGTTAGTATGTCTTTTTTTTTTTATTTCGCTAGTTCAAACCAGGTGTCAGTAGTGGAGATGTATATGGACCCATTTTCTCTTATTGAGCATAATTGGGAGTGACTTCTGCATTTCCACACAAAGAAGCACTGAAGGGGGTCACGTTTAGGCAACATAAAGGTTATTAGAAACACATTCCATTCCGCCTTAAATGTAGGCCAGCTTAATTTCCGTTACTGTGGTGGAGTAAGTCTATTTCATTGCAACACTACTTTGTTTACAAGTTTCACAGATCTAGCTAACAGGAAGCTAAAGTTTCCTGTTAGCTAGCCTTATAACAAAAGTTCATGTTGTATTATTTGATTAATCCTGTAACATGCCTAATTCTTGGACACACCTTAAAATATTTCAAAGGTTACAATGACTTTTCAATGTTCAGAAAATCAAAAGTGAAAGTAAATGCGCCCTGGCCATTAAGTTCAGCAACAGGATCCATTAAAATTTTATAATCACCATGTTTCTACTCTTATACATAATTTATGGAATATTGATCTAATCTAAAATTTCAGAGCTACACAATGAGATTAAATGTTTATTGTCAAAGGCTGTAGACATTGTTGCTTATTTTCCAACATGGCAGAAAACTGGGTCAATATAATTTCTGAATAATAATAATAATTTAGGTGCCATCATTTTATAATTTAAATGCACATACAATTCTGTTATATCATGATAGGTTTACCCATCTTCGGCTTCAAATTCTCATACCCTGCCTTTACCGCTAATAGATCCTCTCCAGTTGTTTATATCGCTAACCCAACTGAAATACCCCAACTTTCTTAGTATTAGCCGTCAAGTGCTTGTGTTTAAGGTTCCTTATTAATTCATCCTCCCTGTACAATCTTTTTTACATTCTGGTACATTTGTTAGGGGGTGTATCTAGGAAACATCTTGAAATAGACAACAACAAAAAATGTACCACAAGCTTCTAATGGCTGGACCCTTACTGATAGTGAAGTAACCCCACCCCGAACGATCCCACCCACAACCACCCCATAAAAGCAGCTTTGTAAGAAAAGAGAACACAACGTATCTTCAAGCATCAGTGTTTTCGGATTTCCTGTCAGTAAGAAAGAGCAGACCTACCTAGACACGCGTTTGCCTACAAATCCCATAATTCTTATTGGTATTACCTGAGCAGCCAGAATTGTATAATGCCGGGACTGTATGCCACAGTAGTGCTGGTGGTGTAGTGCCAGGCAGGTTGAATAGATGGATGCTGTAGTGATCACAGGATGGTGTCTCGTATTGCAAAACTTAGCACCGAACGGGATGATGGGATTTGTAGGCAACCTGCTTACCTGCTACCAATTTGAGATCCATCTGCTCTTTTAGTGTGCGCAAGTATAGAAATTGGTTTCCAACAATGTGATGAAAGAGCTAAGGTTGAATTAGGAACACATTGTTATGGTTTCCTTGCAATAATTTTGTAAACGTAGCCAGAGTTACTTTGAGGCAAACAGTTAAGTGAGAAATAAGGATAGTTTTGTAAAAATGCTTACACATTTACCAAACCTGGGCCATAATATACATGCCCAGAGTATTTATTTTTATATAAAAGATATACATTTTGACAATAGCATCAAATGTTTTTTCCTTTTTTCCAGTTTCCCACATTTCTTAGGGAATAGGGGCCCAATTCTTCAAACTGAGGCAAACTACAATACAGTTAAAATTGTACAAATGCAAAAGCATCAGTTGTCAAGAAAGTAGTTAAGAATTTTTTTCCAGTTTAGCAAGCCAGGGTGACATAGTATCAACCCAACTTATAGGCAACCATTAAGTTTACAGTGAAAGTTTGTCAAATGTTCCAAAGATTCTTGAAAAGTTTCAGATATAAATTAACAGATTCACCAAATATTGCCAGCTCTATTTTCACCACAGCGTAGGAAACCAACATACACACTTGACTTCTGTATTTTTATTTTTGTCTAAGTGGAAGCTGAGATGTGATTAGCCTGAGACAGAGCTGCAGTTTAGCGCAGCAGCAACAGCAGGTGAGTGGTTCTCCTCTTGTTATAAAGACAGCGAGAATAGAACTTTGTAGAATGTGCTTGGACAGTGGCTTTAGTCATGACAACAAAACACAACACTACTCTACATATCGTCCGTAGTTACAAAACAGTTTTCCCCATTCAGTTTTTTACAACAGTAGACGGGGCAATAGTCCGCGGTGCGTTCAAGTACCATCACGTATCCCAGTCCATCTCCCTGCACGCTATCCGCACTAGTCTTAACTCCAGCTCGAAGGCGTCGGGTCGCTCCTGAGGGTTGGCCGACAGCATCTCCCTTATGAGCTGCTTCATGTGGACGTTCATGCTCTTTTTCCGAGCCGGGATAAGCAACTCCATTTTGGGGTTCTCCAGGAGTGCTTCCCCTAGCGGTACAATCTCGGAGCCCTGCTGCACGTAACTGCCCAACAGCTCCTTCTGAGTCTCTACATCCACAAACGTAATCCTCTCCACCATCGCCCAAATTATAACCCCGAGAGCGAAGATGTCAGCTTTAGCCGTGTAATGCCCTTCCCATACTTCAGGCGCCATGTAAAAGTCTGTACCGCACGCTGTAGACAGGAAGCACTTGTTGACGCTCGCTGGCTCTTCCGGGTTTAACCCAGAAGTCGAACAGACCTTGCTGAGCCCAAAATCTGCGACTTTGAGGGTGGGTTCCGGTGATCCGGCTGCCGAGGGGCTTTGCGAGATGAGGATGTTATCGGGTTTGAGGTCTCGGTGTATGATTTGGTTCCGGTGGAGGAAGGCCAAGGCGCTGCCGAGCTGGAGCATGAAGCTGGTGTTGGTTTTGCGGCTGGGTTTGCGGGACAGCAGGTATGCATTCATGTCGCCGCCGTCACAGAAGTCCATGACGAACCACAGGTAGTAGGCACAGCACGGGTCGAACGCGATCTCGCCTTTCAGGGACGTCTCCACCAGCTGAGGGACAAGGAGAAAGGATGTGAACAAGTGGTCTAAAATGACATAGTTGTACAGTGTTACATAGTTAGTGCTTAGTAAATTGTAAATGCAAGATTTTTTTATAAACTGTAGTGCTGCAGTTGTGAGAAATAAGAAATCACAATTAGGAGATCAACTAAGCTTCACATGTCTATATGGACATCTAAACCATTCCATTCCATTCTTGGACTAATTCTATTAATGAATTCTAATTTTAAGATAAATGCCATGCTGGGGGCATCATTAATTCTTTTATTTTAATCTACAGTATATCTATTTTTCTCAGTGGGTTATGTAGTTTCATGGTTGTAAATATTTGCAGTGGTTAGTGGTCAGCATTTTAAGAAACTGAGACAAAAATAAATTAATAAAACGTTAAAACTTAAGGTTACAAGAGGACAAAATGAGACATTAATTCACTGCCAAACTAAAGAGCTTGCTGTTGATGTGGTATTGATATTATTATTTCTGTTGCTAGAAATTGAGACACAGCGCAGTGCTTCTTATCTGCCTACAGAAGTGCAGACAAGCGCGTACGTGAGATTGCATCACTCAGCGTGTTTTTCTCATGTTCACTGACAAATGAGTAGCAAAGGGAAATGCTCTGAGCGCGGGAGAAGAAAGAGGTCTCAGAACTGAGTAAGCAGTGCCGCTGTGGTTTGGCATTCATGCCATGTTGTCTCTCTGCTTCCTTTGTGAGTGATTTTCTAAATCAAAGCGACGTCTGGACCCTCTCATCTTTTATGCTAGCCTGAGGAACTAACTTCATTTAATCTTTATTTTTTTCGACAATGGCCCAAAAACTTGCTACATTTCATCCATCTCAAATTCAATTAGGATTAAATAGCTTGAGTTTAGGAACTTGATGGATTGGACCATCTACAGGTTTGTTAAAAAGTAATGCTGTGAGGAAATGAATCTCCTTTTGTGGCTAAATTAGACTGAAATATTGCTAGCTGCTTTGCGTACAAAAACACCAAAACCTCCCCGTGCAGTAAACAAATGACTGCTTATTGTCTGGTATGCCACAGGCTGAAGCATCCTCTCCAACAACAGAACCAGGCAAATTATCCCACAGTTGGTGCGGTCAGATAATCCCGCCCTATTATCATTTGTTCTTCTGTAAGCACGCACTGGAACATTACGGGCTATAAAAGGACAGAAGCGAGAATAATGGGAATCTGGGAAGGTGTCCAATGCTTGCACTGCACAAAGTGACAATGGGGCCCCACGTGCTGCTGAGTGACTATAATCAGGCAGCAGGGAGGCAGCACGACAGGGCAGACCACAGACAGACTGGCCCCTGTGATTTCAAACTCCAACCAACGATAATGGACAGCAGGCTAGAAAATTCAACAAGTCCAAACCAGTGGCATTCTTTCCCTACCATTTCCAACGATAGAATAATATATTGTAGTAATAATAGTCAAAATATAATAAGCTCTCACAAACTCTAGCACTGACATAAATGAATTTTTAGACATCTGCACAGCTTTAGAATAGCCTTTCCTTTTCAGATGATAAACTGCTTTCACAATGTAATCTATGGTGGAATAAACGATTTTTGATTTTGCTGTGATGGTAAAGCTAACTAGCAACTAGCATGCTAATGCACACTTCCCGATTATCAGACAATAAATAATATATTCAAAATAATTAGAGGAAGACAGCATGCAACAAACTTATTTTGTTCTCAAGAGCTGCTTGCTTATACAATAAATCTGTACTAAGTCACTAAGACACATTTAGCTCAAATAAATGAAAACAAAGCAAAACTTGTGTACAGGCTCTTTAACATAAACTGGTCTTTCTCTTCTTTGTTAACTAAACAATAGCACAGCCTAAACCCACTAACACTGGACATTTCCCATTTATTGAACCCAAACTTTTCAAAACACCTCTCCCCTCACCCTCTTGCACACCCAGGGCAATGTGGGACAAAGAATTCTAGACCTCACTTTCTACTTGGCTTGGTCTTAAATGAGGCGTGCAGCCACAGTTCAGTGTTCCCCCATACATGCTTGAGATTTTGGCCTCCTGCCATATTCTGCACTGCCACACTATCAAAATGAGAGACTGTAATATTTGAACGACCCATTTTTTCCATGAAATAGTTACATGAGATTTTTTGCAGGGCTGATCATTTCTGGAGTTTTTTTTTTTTTTTTTAACATGGCTGTAAAGGTTTAAGCTGCTAAGCAGGCTTCAATCAATCAAAATTTCTTTGTATAGCAAACTTAAAAGAGCCCAAGCTTACTAAAGTGCTGAACAACATAGGTAGCATTTACAGTGGAATAAGGTTTAATGCACAATAAGTCCTTATGGATAAAAGGCTCTGTAAACGACATTATATGCATTTTGCAGTTTTATTCCTCTTCAGCGTGCTGCATTTATGATTAAATACTCATGAGTCATGAATACCATTTCAAATATCAATTTTGTTGAATGCGACTGAACCGGGAAGTACAAGCACAAGTCCTGTACTCAGGTCTCTGCACTGGCTCCTGTGGCTCAGAGACTTTAAGCTGCTCTGTTTGTGTACAAGTCTCTCCATGGCCTAGCAAGTACATTTCTGACATGTTAGTGCCATATGAACCATCTCACATTTTGAGGACCTCAGGGACCAGCCTCCTACTGGTGCCTAGAGTCAGGACTAAACAGGAGAGTCAGCGTTTCAGTTCTATGCAGCTAAAACCTGGAACAGTCTCCCTGAACATGTGAGGCAGACCTCTACTTTGACAATGCTTTTCAGCTCAAAATGTTTTTTTATTCTGCACTCTTCTTCTTTTTTAATGATTATTAATTTTTTATTTGCTTAATTTTTTTAATGTTTACTAAAAGTGCTACACAATTAATCAACCTAACATTGGCCTAGCATGCAAGGTTGTATCAGGGCATTCTCATGTTCTCTTAATGTTGTTACATGCGTTTTCTGTGATAACTCTCTGCTACAGGCAGATGGAAACAGACAAAAACATTGTAGTGGAAACAAACTTTGATTTATATTATACTTCCTGGCAGCTCTGAAAGCAATGGAAGTGTTATAATAATTCTAGAGATAGAATAAAAAGGAACTTTACTGGTAGAGGGTTTGTGACCTGCTTGTTTTCATGAAGATATTATGGCTTTACCTGGCTGGCCCAGAATGCCCCACAGAAAGGCATTAAACTTAACTAGACCATGGAGACAAGCTGGTAAAGTTGCTGGTGAAGTTGTAAGAAAGTGTTAAGTTTAATGCCATGCTGTGGAATATTGGCAAAGCAGCAACATCATATTTACAGCAACATATTTATCCAGTTACAAAATAAAAGACAAAGTTTGTTATATTTTTAACTGCAACACTGATCAAAGAGCAAACACAAGAAAATATCTACCAACTTCACTCTATTTAGTCAAATGTTAATAAATAACACGGTGAATACTGTCTTTTCTTCCATAACTAAAACTTTTTAAAGTACAGAAGAGGGTACAATACTTAAAATTAGGGATCCACTGATAACATTTTGTTCATGAATGATGCCAATTGCTTACCGACCATTGGTTTCTCTGGGTTCTTAACAAAGATTTTGGTAATTTCCCCAAATAATACAAGTTTAATTTAGTACAAACACATCCACAGCTGCAAACTGGATAAGACAGCAGTGCAGTGCCATTTTAGTATATATATTCTTGTATATTTGGGCAGCTGGTTGGGCCAAACAAAATATCGGCCTACGCTGAAGATTTAAGGCCGATAGCAGATAGTCTTACAAAGTACTAATATCGGCATTTATCTATCTCTACCTAAAACATGACAATAAAGTTTAATCACCAACAGTACTATGGGAAAGTGAAAATAGCCTAAAGTAATCCATGTTTATTTCTAATGGGAGGTAATGTGGACCCATTCAGATCCACTTAGCCTTCATCTGCAAATGCATCCCAGCCCCAGTGGACCACCTCAGCTCTGCAGCAGCTGGAAGGCAAGGTGGGTCTATTATTGGGCTATATTTGGTGCAATGATTGGTCAGGGGCACAGGTCCAAATGTTTACAGTCTGTATCCACTTAGAGTACAAGCCAGTTTTGGTTCCACTCTAGCTGTACTCTCAAATGAAAAAAATAAAAGTTTAAAAGGAGCTAAACCTGACTGTAAAATCTAAACCATTTTACATAGTATTTTATCTTATTATTCACTTATACATTCTGAGGATCCTAATTATTCACAGTAGGTTGAGAAGCTTTTAACAACAAGGCCTTTAATATTGTATAAACCTCCTCATACTACTAGCTGTGTATAGCATATTGACACTACAAACTTGTTTACGTTTTCTAAAGCTTATCTTACAAGGTCAAAATAATAGAAGTAAAATACTACAGCTCAGGGACAAGCAAGGCTAATGTGCATGTTCTTTCTCTTAATCAACATAGAGTGTGCGTTAGACAGCATGACTAAACACTGGATATAACACTGGATTTTTAAAAAATTATTATTATTTTAGGTAAAGGAGACCTATTATGCAAAATTGACTTTTCAGAGTTTTTAACCATGTTATAGTTATTTCCCCTCACCATTTACACTTTCAAAGTTGTATTTGGAGAGATTCATGTAAATTTGAGCACTGTTTCATCGAGACACCATATTGCAGATCAACCCACCCACTGCTCTGTACTTACTTCATTTTCCAATCTTATTTTCTTAATCAGTGATATGCGTAGGATTTGGCTGCATCGCATAGTTCTTGAGGTGCAATGTCATAGATTATAACTATATAGCAGACACAAGCACAATATATCTTCTTTAATAATTGTAAACATGTACAGTCCTAGTGTCAAAACAATCATGACACACTGTGTTCTCCATTTGACAGACACTCCTTATAAAGTGTTCAGTGCAATGACTTGACCTGCAATGACCCATATCAAAAAAATAAGCCACAAATATTAGATAAAGAGTTTAAAAATTTGCTCCGTTCATGTCAAAACAAACACAGTGGTATAAAAGAAGGACAAACAGAACAGGACCAATGTACAGAGCAGATTCCTTCTAAATGAACGAGCGAAGCACTAAACTCCAGGACATTCAAGAGATGTCTTCAGCATTAGAAAGACACAATTGCACAGTTGTCTGACATACTGTGCACTCTGCTGCACTCGAACTCAAACTACCTTGCCAGGCTAGCTAACTGGAGCACTTTGAGAACATCTTACTGTAGCTTTAAATCTAAGAGTTTACTTAAGAGTAATAGAGTATAGACTGCCAGAATCAGTGGCAGTAGGGCTACATTAATCACAATTACATTGAAACTGGAGTTTGAATGGACACATTAGCAAATCTCAAAGGCTGCAATTTATGAAGTACCATCATTTCCTCCACAAACACCTAAACATCCTGTCTTATTTTGCATAAAAACTGCAAAGCCTGTAGTTTAGATCTGTACAAACATTTTCTGAAATGTGATTCTTGCATTAGTTATCCAGTTTTGTTATATATCAGTCCTTTGTCAATCCTTCTGGACACGTTCAGCATCCTATTATTAAAACATACATCACAAATCAAATTGCAATGCCTGTTTGAATAACCACAATTAGGTATATTTACCAAATAATTCAGTCTTAAGTGGCAGACGGGTTAAATAATTAATGCCACCCCAGCCTGCCCACCCCACCGCTCCATGACGCTAGCCCCTCACCTCCAGATAAAGCGGCGAACTAGACCCATGGCTCATCCTTTGTGCCAGCTCGTCCCTCTGCAGGATGCACTCCTCCAGGTGAATGACGTTGGGGTGTTGGCTCTGGATGCTGCTCAAGGCCCAGAATTCACGCAGGGCCAGCTCCACGTTTTCGGGCGAGTGGCAGCGGATCTTCTTAACAGCCATGCGGGCCCCAGTGCGTCTCGCCACGGCCTCGTACACTACGCCGTAGCTGCCCCGCCCCACCTCCTGGATCAGCTCGTACTTGGGCTGGCTGCTGACCATTCTAGTCCTCGCTGCGCAAAGGACAAAAGGGTTGGAAAAGTTAGTTAGTTGTTTATTTGACATTTTAATTGACATTATAAATTTTGACTTTTGTTTAGAAATTTTTAATAGTAGTTGCAAAATGTGTAGTATTTAGGTATATAGCTTAGAAGTGAATGTTAAAAATGTAATGGAAAGGTGTGCAAAATTTTCTTAAAAGATACATAAATACATACAAGTCATTAGCCAAAATAATATTAAAAAGCAATGTCACAAAAAAAAAAAATTTTCAAACTTGATTTTGGCACTTTACCACAATGATAATAAAAACACAGTTTCTTTTTTATTTAAACAATATTACATATTACAATCTGGTTTTACATCTGTATAATCCCTCAGTCATACACAATATAGAAAGTGATGAAGGCTAGGTGTTGTATGTGTACTGGCAAAATGTGCAAAATATCCATAGAGATAAATTAGCCAAAACAATATAAAAATAAAACAAAAGAGCCATGGAACAACTTGATAAGATGCTGCGTCACTACTGGTAAATAAATCCACATTCATCACATTACAAAACTTTTGACAGAATGCTAAGTGTTAAATTTTAAGCATCTTAAAATCTCCATTAAGCTTACTTGAAAATTCTATAAAGCACAGACACAGTCCCAGTGTTTCCTATAGATTTTCACTAAGACTATAATGGCACAACAGCTCCATATTTGAATCATTTTAAATACAATATTTTGGTGTTTAAATGTCACTTATTGCCTCTACTGAACAAAAGCACTGATTACAGATTAAACATTGTTACTTAATGATAACGCCACAAGCATAAAGTTGTTTTACAAATTTTTTGCTTGTTTTTAGACTATGAGGGTGAAATTTAGACAATGAGGGGGGTTCCTCTATTAATGCGAATACACTGCAGCAATCCCTCAGCCTTAAAAGTAAAAAGTAACCTACCTTAAAATTTAACGGTTTGTAATTGTAATTGTAAAAAAAAAAAAAAAGTTTAAAAAAAGTTCATATCGGCAAACGTACCTTCACTGCCTGTAGCCATTCTAAAGTTGCTCTACAGATAACAGCCACCATAAGCATCATGAAAGGTACACTAGGATATTCACCAACTTTGAATGCCCTTAGTTCACATGCTTTCTACACTAAACCAGACAACATAACAAAAGCTCTCGAGAAAGGCCTTTGCCAAAACTAGAACAGTGTCAGACAGGCTGCAATTTGCATAACCAACACTAGAGGCCGCTGCATTCCATAAACATTACAATATTATGCTGCTATATTTTTTTTTCAAAGTGAAATAACTTCAAATTTAATTGTACAATTGTAAGAAAAGTAAACTATAAATAATTTAAAAATAAATCAAACAATTTATTTTAATAGCATAGCAACCCATTTATCTACAGCATTTATAAGCACAGAATGTTCTGCTACCTTTTCTCCATTCATAACATTATGACATGTTGTGTTATATCTTAGCCACACCACTGTAATTAACATACCAGTTTCCTTTTGCCAACAAGTTGCATAAGCTTGCTCTTCATATGCTGCCAATATATCCTCTTACATGTATCAAGATTTGCTATGAGGATTTGCCACTTCTGCTGTCTGCCACTTCCCTGCATCTGTGTAACTACCCTGTGAACTGTAATGTACACCAGGGGTCTCAACCTTTTTCCTCTGGTGAGCTACCTTTACAAATGAAAATGCCAGAGAGCTACTAACTTTAGCGGTCATAAGTTAGATCATTTATTAGTGCACAAATGTTTTAAAAAGTTTCCAAAATTATACACTTACAATCGTAATAGGCATTTCATTTATTAGATTTATGTTACTCAGCACAACACAGAATCCAGAATATACTGAATAATACAGAAATCCCTTGGCGAGCTACTGGTTGCTGCCAAGCTACGGGCTGGAGACCCTGATGTACACAAATGTTACCTTTGGCATGAATATGAAATAAATATGAACATGAAATTATAACCTCTCCATGTGGTCTTCCTGTGTATGAAATCTGCAGCATTGTAGTTAACACCTTTGCAGATGTGAACCTAATACCTGGAAGTGTTTGTTTTTTTAGCTAATGTTTTTTTTGTTTATTTGTTTTTTTAAGGCTTTATAATGACAGAAAATTTGTAATTAGTCATATAAACAATCATTTTCCATTAACATAACTTAAAAATAAAAAACTGGATATTTTCACACACAATGTAAAATTAATGTTATAACCTAAAAAATGAATAGATTTTTAGTAATAATGTCATTTGTATGTTAAATCCCTAACTTTAAGCCATATTACAATGTTGTTACTTCATAGATAGGTAATAATGAAATAATAACATCAGCACCTGGGGTATTCCTGCAATATAAAATCTACTAAAACACAGACTTTGTCACTTCAGAACCACCTGTCACTTTCACATTGGACTTAGATGGCCGGGAGAGTGAAAGCTTGCCCGGAGGACTGACTGGATGATGGTCGGTGTGCTAGCGGGGCTAATTGGGCTCTCCCTGTACGGGCTGATTGGCTAACAGCTCCGGCCTGGCCACCGACTGCGAACAATGTTGTTGGTCTGCTAACGTTAGCTAATCATGTTAACACCAGCTAACAAAGAATCCAGCTTTCACCAACAAACTGTGCAAACATCCAACTCCTCATTCTTCCCGATCCAACGAGTCAAACTGTCCCTAATGTCCAGGCAGAGTGGACACGCGTGTTCAGCCCAGGCATTGACACTTTATTGTATATGCATGAGAGTGTCAATAGGAAATTCAATCCGGATTTCCCCAAACACACACACCTGCCAAATAAGTAAGTGAGCAGAACCAGCGCATACGCCGACCATGAGAATAGAACCGCGGCGGCACTCGGCGATGGTCGCGGGGAGCTGTGGATGAGGTGATCTCACCTTTAAAGCGTGTGTCGGAGGCTCATTTGTTGTCTCTCGCTGGCAGCCATTACCGCCGCACAGTGCACGCTCTGCTCCTCTCGCGCTGGAGGGACGGACGGGTGCGCGTGCAGCTGCGGGGCGCTGCAGCGGCGGAGGACGCAGCGAGAGCACTTCCGCTCTGGTCCTTCACAAGAAAACTTCCAGTTGAAGAATTGAACTTTCTTTGCTATGGAGCCTACCTGAAGACTAAGGATTGCACAGAAATAAAATACACTAGGCTACCAGTTGGACCTCGTTCAACCAGTGGTTTCCAACTTTTTGTGAGACCAAGCGTTTTTGAGTATCCAGGAAAGCACTATATTAAATTGATGCATTATTATTAAGTGGCCCCATTGAATATATTGACGACCCAGACCTTCACCTACAGGTGACGTAAATAGCCTACGTCAAGACATGCTCAAATTAGATCTAGGCTATTGATGGGTTTCAGCTCCCTGTTACATGTAACTTTTTCCCAACACAAGATATAAGTAGATTTAAAAGTCAATCACTATGTGACAATGGTTTTGATTCTTCATAATTCAGAAACCCACCATGGATATGCATCAACTGTATGGACGTTACATGAACTTGCATTGTTCAATTTTTTGTGAATATTGACTATACTGTTGCAATTTTAAATATGAATATCCTTTTATAACATTATATCTATGCTAACAGCCTGTTGGGATAGATTAAAAATGTAACAAATGAAAGTGTGTTTGTATACAATTCAAACTATAGAAGAGCTAGTATTCTATTGCAAGGTTATGTATATGAACATGACCTTTTGAAAAAAATCCTGGTACTTCCCAGTTACTGCATTTTCATACTGTAGTGTACACTAAATAGGCTTAAATCATAACATATTACATTTACAGCATTCTCCATTTCTAACATTACTGGCAGCGTTTTATAATCTGCACTATTACATAAGCTCTTTTATTTTGAAAACTGTTTGTTTCAGTTCCGCTGTTTTCTTCACGTGTTTAGACTCGTGGTGTTAAAATCAATTGTTGGGCTTTTAAAAATCCAAGTCATGATCACACATTGAAAGCATGCACTTAGTAAACTGGGAGCTAGGTTTTATAAATTATAATACTATATATCTGGGGTAGTTTTAATGCATTATACAATTGCATACCATAGTACATAAGCATATGGCATGGCAATGTTACAGTTTACCAATAAACATACAATATTAAAAACACAAAGCACACACAACTAGTAAAAGTCATTTTATTACTACACAAACTCATTCAAACCAGCAAAATGAACAAAAATATACCTCATTAAATCTAGTCTAAACAGTATGAAGTCCCTGAGCATGATAAAAGTGTCCTCTTCTGTTTGGGTGTACAGACTCATGTGGTGCAGATAAAATATCAGCGACTGTGGAAAAGATGTCAAGATTGTGAACACTTTGGTTTCGCTCCAAAACACATTACATTTCTTTGGTATCATATTAATACATTTACAGCAGCAACAAGCAAAAATACATTCTGTGAGGAAAATACAATATAAAAAACAAACAAATAAAAACACAACATTTAACATAAAATGTACAATAATGGATTTTGGGTTTGTATTCATTACATTGCCCGTGATCCCACACAACCTGAGGTAGACTTGTATAGATTCTGATAAGACGAATTTGGTCTTGATCAAATATAAGAAACTACACACTAAAAACACTAAAAAGACATGGAGTTTGTTGTAAGGCAGCAAAGTGGACATCAGAACAGATGCTTATAGGCCAATACAATTCTTCCATTTGCTTAAAAAAAATACTACAAAAACATAACTACTTTCATGCATAAATCAATATACTGTTTTACTACCTTATATTTACAGTACGTCAAACATTGTGGACTGATTAGATCACACATTGAAACTTGATATTTTTGACAAAAATCTAACAGTGCACATTAATAAATTAAACCATAAATACAAAATTATAACTACAGAAGACTGAATTTGATAGTGAAAAAAGAACTACTACGCTACTGGCCTTGTCCATCACCATGGTGTCAATAAATAAATAAATAAATATTTAAATAAATAAATAAATAAATAGACAAATTAGCAGGGTTTGACATTAACTTTTTTTTTCTTCAAAAATTGCTTGCAAACTAGGGTGGTTTTACTGGCTAAAATTACATACATTTCATGCAATAATTTTGAATATTCAATGCAAAGCAATAATATCTCAGTGGAGACAAGCCGCTAGCGTGATACTCGCAAATCAAATATGTTAGGCAGAAAAAAACAATCTGCTAACCACATTTGTTCTTACTGTTCTTATTAATTTAGGTTATACATCAAATTAAATGACCCTAAGTAGTAATAAATAGCATTTGGCTAGTTTGCTTTAGTGTTAATGTCATGCTCCGCTAAGTAGCAATGAAACTGTGCCACTATTTTAGTAGTGAAACTACACAACTGCATCAATGCAATGTTTCTACAGTATTCCCCTGAGTCCATCTAAAGACATTCATACCATTAAGCCTATTATTCCTAGTTTTATAAAGCAAGGCATCAAGTCCTCACAATGTTCCATAATAATCCTTTATAATCTCAGCAGAACCCATGTATTTGTAAGACATACAGAACCAGTCTTTCCGTTCAACACTTGGCTAAATTGTTCATCAGTGCAGAATACAGACACTTGGCTTTTGAAAATCATACAAAATACTGTTTAACAAGGATTTTCATATTTAGGACTAGGGTTGCACAGTCTATTACAAAATTATCAATATTCCTAAATAGGCTAACGCAATATCCATATCACAAGAGAGTAGCTAGAATATTGCAGTATCAAAAAGATTTAGAACCAATTTATTAGTTTTAGTAAATTAGAAGAATTAGTGAATAGTACATTTTTGCTCAAATTAAAAGTAAAAGCTAAAGTATTGCAATAGCCTATTTCTTTCCATATTGTGCAGTCCTGTTCTGAACAACCCTCGTTTTTGTAGATGCATTGAAGTAACATTCATTTTTCACTTGTGACAGACAATATCTGCCGTACAATCATTACAGGTCTTGCATACAAAATGACTACATACAGTATTTGGTGTAGCATTTCTTCCCATTAGAAAGATAATTCGTAGGTTAAGGTACTCGTGTTTGTATAATGTTTTCAGTAAGCTCCCTGCACTGAGGCACCTGGCACTTGGGTTGCTCATTTACATTCAATTAAAAAGAATAATAAAATAGCAAGTTATTTTTTAATATTTTGTCAAGAGAGAATGGAAGTCAGCTGTTCAGTATCGTGTCCATCTTTGTTCATTTGTAAGCCTCTTTTTATTCTCCCACCCTCCATCAAATCAAGGCACAAAAGACAGACAGCCTAGTTCTGCTATAAATGTATATCAAAGAGGGGGTATTATGCAAAACTGACTTTTTACCATGTTATAATGTTGTTCCTTCGTCAGAAACATGCCTGATTCCACATGTTTCACATATTAAAGATTTTAATATGTTGTTTTGGCTGAGTATATTTTCAAATTGATAAAAGGTAACATGGAATCTAAATATGTTCTGTATCAGCAATTCATAGCAGATAGAAGTGTAATATCCCCTCTTTAAACGTCATTGTACTTTTAATATTGATTGTTGTAACTACAGAAAGTCCTGGCATTGCCATATTATTTAAAATGGTACTGGGTTGAATTCCGGTCAAATCTGATGCAACACTACACCAGCACTTAAACAGAGGTGTCATTACATTAGACTAGTACTGGATACTCCTCTCATGCTACATGCTGCTATGTTAGAAGGCTTGGACAGGCCAGTGTCTTCACTTACAGACTGGAGATATTCAGAGAAAGCACAAAGTTCACTGGGCTACACTTCCCTTGGTCTGCGATTGTTCAACTCGAATGCTCAGAGACTTGTCAGAAGCTTAAACCCTAGAATACAACATAAAAGAGCAGTGATATGTCTTAGAGACAGTACAAATGACTGGTAAAGCTAGTGCAGAGGGAGAGATGTGACAGAGAGAATGCATGCTCTCATGTTTACAAAGGAGGCTGGGAGCTCTTAAAACATTGGTAAAAGATGTTTTGCCACAATGGAACCACAAATTGTCCTGTGTATATCAGTATCATGTATATAACCATTAATTTGAGTATCAGGAAAGCACTAGGTTTTTCAAATGCTCAAACTAGTTCGTCCACAAGTCCTTATGGTAAATTATACCTGAAGCCCATCGACCACTACCAAAAAGTACTTGGTTAGCATGGGAATTGTGGTTGGCATTACAGTGATGGCACAACTTCACTCTGGCTTTGGAAAGTTGTGAAAAGCACTTATGAACTCATCGCTATAAATTATTAGGATGCTCGGAATGCATAAGGTACATGAAGATTCTTTTTGTTTTCATATTTTTGAGACACAGATACAGTGACTTTATTGACCAGTTGTAAGGAATTCTACGGAAATCATTTGGTGATCATTCCAGCATGGACGACCTCGTGATTAAGAAACAGCCTCTCCCTCTCCACTGCTTTGTCCACTCCTGTCTACTGTCCACTGTCCAGGTCAAAGTGTCAGTCAGTCATTTCAGTGTCCATGCCTTGGCTGGGTCCCGCCTCCGTTTCCATGGCGACGTCTGCTCCCTGTGTGTCCAGTGCAGCTCTCTGCTGTGCTTTGAGTGGACATGAGGCCACCATGTGAGACAGGCTCTGGCAGAAGTGGCACTTTTTGGGCTGGGGGGGCAGCTGGCACTCCTTGGCGTGGTGACCCGGGGTTCCACAATTGTAACATCTGCAGGTTAAAAATATGAAGCAGTAATGAAATGCATTAAACCTTTGGATTCAAATTTTAAAAAATTAAAAAGGAATGCAACTGTACAGAAGCAAGGCAGAATTCTTTCCATTTTGTAATGAAATGTAGTGTTTCATTCACACCTTTCATACTACTCAATGCTTTTACTGTTAATTTTGTAGTTATGGATTAAGCTATCCTTGTTGTAAATTGAAATAAATTCCAAAATGTCTATTTAGAAAATAAAAAAATAATAATAAAAACTAAATCATCAACTAATTATTTTTGTGAATATTGTGGTATATGAAATTATTTTAAATAGAGACTGTGGGGAGCTTTAGCCAAATAGTTTTTGTTTGTATTTTTAATCAGATCCAAGGCAAAAATCAGCCATTTGTGTAGCTTTAATTAAAACCTGATATAGTAGCATGTTTGAGTCATCACCTTTCTTCAAATGACATCAAGAATGTGCACTGTGAAATATGGACATGCATAAATCAAGTACTCCAGTAGCTACAGGCAAATAATCGCAATGCTTGAAACTATTACAAAAGTGACATATGAGAAATATTTCTTAGTAGTACCACTTGAGGGCGCCATTCACCACTGTTATTTGTAGGATGTCAGTGAGCAGCTGTGAACAATAGGGTCATCTCAGTCTATTCTGATTGCATGGACCTCTCCTGACAGCCCACTTCAGCTCAAGACCAGATATTTAGCAAATTCACACACAAATAGGATAAGCTCATGACACCAATTATGTTTTTACAAGGAGCACATATTTTGAGCATATTGCGAAATTTACAGGACATAGCAGCTTTTTTATGTCACAGACATAAGCAAAAATCCATATATATATATATATATATATATATATATATATATATATATATATATGGTTGGGATTGGGTGACAGAACACTTCTAGATACAGAATATTTACAAGGAAAGGAAATAAAATAAATGGGGAAAACATTTTGAGAATCAAAGCAAAAAGCAGAGCAACAAATGACCAAAAATATTAAAATAAACATTTGTTAGCCCAAAATTGTCACCAGCTCATCTCATGAAAATTGTGTCTAATCCTCATTCCTATTATTTTGCATATTTTATTCCAATTATATTATCATTTTTATAATTATTAATAATGTTAATTATGAATAATATGTTTTATGTACAGTGAGCATTGTGGTAAATGGCTATTGTTTACTGCTGAATCCATAGTGGCTCGATGGCTAGTTACTCTAACAATTGTGAGCTAAGTGAAATCCTATTTGTGAATTCATGAGCTGGAGGTCACACAAGAAGAAACAGTGGCCTTTTTAACAGGCACCACAAATTATTGATTTTATGGACAATCTAGTTGGCTTCTCCGCACTGACCTCTCCCTCCTCCCACTGTAAACCCAAGAGGAAATGGCATTTCTTTTGCCATAAAAATTTGATTTGTGTGTGAAAAAGGATCATAATAATACTATTCACCAAACCTCTTTATTTTAAATCACTACTGCAGTAATGAACAAGAATACAGTTGGAGTGTTGCACCAAGAGCATACCTCGTGGGCTATATTTGGAATAAAACAAATCTAGCATGTCAGGTTATAATTTTCAGATTTTCTTAAGAAAACAATGAATAATGTTGCTTAAGTCACTCTAAACTACAACATTAAATAGAGTGTGTAGTGTCTTCTCTTAAAAAAGGATCTACAACCAACTGAACCTGGGATGCCAGTACTATAACCTGCAGATATATATATGTTTTTGTTTTTTTTATTTAGAGGTAAGTTTTTTGCATTCTTAATACATGTACAGGCCCTAATGTACAGGCTCTCTGAGCTGCAGAGGCTGCACTACCACTAACCAACGACTGGCTGCAGGATCTGGGGTTGTCAGGATTCAGATCAGAGTCCTTTTACATTTAACTAACTGGATTTCAGCAGTGAAACTGGGAACCCAAATCAGAATTACAGCTGTGATCAGTAAAAGCTAAATTTGATTTGAACATGTTTACCTCATATCTGAGGACAGAATTCATGTTTATGAAATTTAAAATATTGATTTGGCAAAGCCGCTACAATGTTGTCCAGGGACACAAAAACATGAACTTCAGACAAGGTTTGAACCCTACACCCTAGTGTTAGGTGAATGCGTAACTAGGCCTGACACAATAATTACTAAATATAATTATTGTACAACAATAATCCAAGTACAACAGGCATCATTTTTCCAGATGAATATTCAGATGTAAAAAGGAAAAGCCACTCTTGTTTTTAACAATATTGTATGTTTAGAAACAAATTTACCATGATTATGCCACTGCTACAATAATGATAAAGCAGGATGAAGTCGTTTCAGTATTTATGTTTATCAGGATATTTTCTAATGTATATCACTCTGAACTGAGTTCTACACATTATCAATCTGGATGGCTATATTCTTTGGAAAGAGGAGGGACTCTTTTAGCCATCACAGCAGCCATCTGACATAAATATTAAAACAATATAACTCTTGGCTAAATTAATGTGTAGCATCATACATACAGTTTCTAAGGCTTGGTATTTTGTTAGCAAGTAATAATACTGGACTCAAATACACCAGGAGGAGGCACACAAGATGGCCTCTCGCAACTATCCAGGTACATTTTCTGAATCCATATATCGAAATTTTAAGTTTAAGTTTGACAAGCCTTTACTTAACATTAAATTAGTTGTCCACACCCCACCTATTGAAGGACTGAAGGTTTAAATTTTATATTTGGGCAAAATATTTTATTATAGTACCCAATTCAGTCACAACCCTATGGCAAACAGCTCCTATCCTTTAAATACATATTAAAAGCATAATACCTGGAAATACACAGTTATTTTATTGGTTTTGAAGGTGCTAAGAAAATGGCCAAACCCAAAACCTAATCCTCAGCAAATTTCATGAATGATGAATTCCATCTAGTGTCCCCTTGGCCTTTCCTCTGCCCTGCCCCTCCTCCTCTCTCCACAGTGGTCAGAGATGGTCAGTATCGATCAGTGCAGAAAGGTAGAGCTCCTTTGTTTGACCACTGGGCTGGGTGACCTCTGAACCCTGACCCCTCCTCTCCCTCACCTCATTTACACACCGCGCCCTGCTGTTGCCATGACAGCACTGACCTTTCACCTCTGGCAGCCACGTACATCTGGTATCAATTAGATGGAAAGGATCTCCTCTACTCCTCTCAATACTACATTTAGGACTCAAAAGTACAAAAGCTGCAAATGAATCTAGTTTTCAGACTAAGTTTTATGAAAAATAAATTTGAGCAAGAAACAAGAATTGAGATGCCAAAATTGTGTTGATTATTTGGAGAAGAAACACTTCCATTTTAGATGACTAAAAATAAAACAAAAATGCAATCATTAAATCACATTGTAATACATTACTATACAGAGAATGTATCTAATTTAGTTTGTTTATTTTTCTCACCATGACCAAAAATATTTAAACTTGCTATTGCTATTGTGAATAGTGAAAGCATATATGATTGTTATTGTAAAACAAAATCATGGGATTTTATATTTCTAAAAAGATTGGGGGAAAAAACATTACTGATACTAAAGCCAGTATCAAAACTGGATACTCATTTGAACATTGACATTAACGTAAAATCAAATCTTTTTAGAAATTTTTGAAGTTTTAGAATTGTCTGTGTTTTAGAATTGTTATTGTTTCAGAACTAACCAAACAGCAATCCTGTTTATTTTTCATTATAATGGAGAAAAGTACAAAGAAAATGCAAATGTTCACATTAAATACCCAGTTTTAAGCAGAATGTCTGATCCATTATAGTTGGTTACATTACAAGCTAAGACTCAAGTTGAGGAGTATCATCTCTACCTCTGCTCTACCTTCACACTGCAAACAGGGGGGTAGGAGGAATCAGAGCCCAAAGCTTGTTTAACTGCCAAACCAAAGAAAACAAACCACATATTGATATATTGATTGGACTCAATGCCCCTTCAGAAATGGTAATGAATAGTCAATGTTATAACCGCTGCCAACTTTCCATGTGACTAACTAGATCTCATTCTGTTTTCATAGCTTATAACAATTGCTCTAACAATTGATATTGTTTTCAGAATATTAGAAGAGGAGTGTGTGTAATCATACTGCCAGGACATGTCAGCTACAGCTCAAAGAACTATGATTGACTGAGCAGTATATTCTTAGATTTTTTTTTTTTTTTTTCAGTTTTTTGTTTCTGTCACAGATTTTAAACTAATGACACTGGCAAAAACTATGAGAAAATATTAAACTCAGAAAGCTCATACAATTGTTATTGCTCCTGGATGTGAATACTGCTTTTAAATGAATCATCATCTTAAACTGGAATTTTTTTGCAGATACTGACTTGTATTTTTCTGATTTGCTTCTCAAGAAAACCTCCCTTTCCTTCTCTTACATCAGCCAACTTCATGTTATCTTTAATACAAATTACCTATAGGGCTTCCTCTAGACCTGTGATTGTCAAAGTTTCCACACAAGTACCATCAAGATATATTTATACAGTATATTACCATAGTTCTAAATAATGATGACTGCATAAAAATTACTCAGGGTCCTGTTTACCACCAGAGGTAGTCTACTTTCCACCAATGGAACATGTACCACAGTTTGGAAAACACTGTCCTAGATCTTCTTTCTGCATTTGTCAACCATATATTTCACTAGGGCTATAGTTATATGGTCAGAAATGTATCATGATATTGGTACATATGATATAACTTCACCTCAATATATAGTACCATCTGGCCTATAACAGGACTAAATCAAACCTAATTAAAAGTTAAACCTGGTCCAAAACAGAACTACACCTTTGGAACAGAAGTTCTAAAGAAGGACTATAGGAGGAGAAAAAAATGTGAATGAAAACCTAAAACTTGCAATGTCAGTTGTTCTAAGTCCTTATACATTGAGAATTACTCAATGCCCCATGTCACTCAGTCAGAACACAAGTCAGTGGTGTGTGTTTCTGTACATACCGGTCAGTCTTGGATCGTCGTTTCTGGTTGCCTTTGGACCTGCGGTCACTTCCCAGGCAGGGTGCTCCCTCCGGCCCTGTCACCCTCAGGGACTCCAGGCCTTTAGAGGACCTTTTGAATGTAAACTCCACTGGCTCTCCCTCTCGCAGGCTGCGGAACCCCTCCATGTACAGTTTGCTCTGGAATAACAAAAACAAGAGTAAGAGCATTCAAGAGATGTGACTTATTTTACAGTGTAGGTCTTCTCTGCATTGATGAAAACTAGTAATCTGTGTGTTCACTATTGATACAGTGACATCATGCTGGGGGAGTTCTATATGTATGCCTATGTCGAAATGTTCAGCAGTCATCATGGTGATACAGTATTAGCATATGCTGAAAAAAGTTTGAAAACAGTTTGAAAACTCAAAAAAAAAAATACAAAATGGATTTAAACAACAATTTTTCAGGAGCCTGTGATCAATACAAGCATCTTATTTAGGCATTTCATTTTCCCAAAAAAAAGGTGAGACTAACTAAAAAAAAACTGTTGGCTAAAGCTACATAGATAGCCTAACTTGAGTAACAGAGCTTCAGACAGAGCAGAGCCTCTAGTTAGCTTCACACCCCCAGGGAATGTTGATGACATTATGAGTTTTCAGACCACCAACTTATAGGTCAGCATTTGTGCATTGTGTTAGCATCACACATACATACAGAACAGTCCGTGCATGAAGTCCCTGCAAAGTATCAATAACTATGTAGAGCGTCAGATTGAAATAGTCTTCCGGATGGCAGCACTCATGCCCCAATTTCTAAAACATTGTCCAGATGACTATACCTTTGAAACCTTTTTTAGCATTGGTTTCATTATGCAATGCCATATTAATCACATTAAATAACAATAAACTGACCTCTATTCTAAACTAAGGGTCAAATCTAGTATGGTCAGCATTTTATTAGACTAAATAATATGACGGTCTATAAAATGAGCAGTGAAGCTTTTTAAGACCCCCGGTAGCATTGCGCTTTGTGGTTTCCTGTGCACTTCCTGTATTTGATGGTTGTATTAACCTAATGCAGACCTGGCCAGCGCTGTGGTCCTAAAGGATCCCACACTCAGATGGACTGCTTTTATAAGAGGGAGGGGGCGGAGGTGAACACTACAGGGGAATCACTTCTCAGCCAAAAACCCTACACTTTAATAGTTGTTCACCCTAACATTAAGATAGATGTGGTCAGAGTTTAAAGTTTAAACACTGGACTTTTGTTGCTTTTCTGATGACTTCTTATGTTGCTGCAGCTCAGTTCAATTCAGTTGTAGGAATGTTGAAAAATCAAATTCAAGATTCTCACACGTCCAGATTTAAAGCTGCCATATTCACAAGAATAAAGTACCCTAGTTTTAAAGATGACATATCATGCTTCATTATGTGATCATGGGAATTTTCTGAGCAATGGCATCTTGAATGCAGGGAAATAAAGATTACTCAAACATGCATGAGTCACTCTAAATACAACTTAGGCACATGAGAAGGGAAAAATCTTGGTAACACGGCTAAAAGCTCTAAAAGATCTATTTTGCCTCCTTTAAATATGACTTACTGTGTGATACGCTCCACTGTGTTAAACTCCTTCACATCTTGTTAAACACCTTCACTACAATAATTTGGTTAAACTCTGCCATGCAATTGCCAGTCTCTACTAAACAAAAGGTAAAAGGTTGCTGCTAACTTGAAAACTACCACTACATGACATTAAAAGGTGAAACACAGCAACTTGAGCTTTGAAGATGTAGCCAGTAGACTAATAAACCAGCATTACTCAAACATGTGAATGAAACAATACAACTCCAGGTATGTTTTGATGGGGTAACAACATAATGGCTTAACATGGCTTAAAGCTCTCAAGTGACATTTGTTGTAATATAGGATCACCTCTCAATGAACTTTTCTAACAACAACTTTTCTGACACTTGCATGATATCCACAAGAAGAGTAATTTATCTTGAGTACAAACAAAATAAACTGCATTATGATATCCTTTATATTATTCAAGCAAGCTTTCCACCAGTGAAACACCAGCCATGTCCCTGCATTTTCACACCTCCACTTGACCCATGCACACAAACAAATGAAGTTCCAGTCTTGCCAGTCTCAAGATTTACGATGTCTAGAAACATAAGACGCCACAGTGGTGAGGAGGGGGGGACAGGTCAGGTCTGGGTGGGCTCATAAGGTTTAATAACCACAGTACAAGAAACAAAGTTAGAAGAAGAGAGGAGAAAGAAGAGAGGAAGAAGAGGAGAAAGGAGAGGAGGAGGAAGAAGTTTACTTAACCCTTTACACACAAGTCGGAACCACAAAGCTCTCATACCTCTTAACTCCAACAGAACCTCAGGCAAAGAAGAGTCCACTTTAGGATGGTGTGATCTTCCGAGTCTTTGCTTGGATCATGTGTTACATAGATTTACTTACTTAGATTTACAAAATTTCATCTTGAACTTGCAAAAAAATAAATAAAAAATCCTATAATATATGGAGAAGAGCATAAAGTGTCATCTATCACTTCACACCAGTGTACACAGACACTGGAGACAAGATGGGTTAAGTGTCTTGCCCAAGGATACAACAACAGCATTCATCAGTGGGAGCTAGAATTTCACTGTCAACCTGTGGGTCAGTGGTTTATGTCAAGAGTGGGATTTGAACTGCCAGTGGACAAATACTCTACCAACAGAGCTACTGTCTAGCAGTGTCTTACATCTATATAAAGTTATGCCTATACATATTGTGGTAATCAATGAACATGTGACCAGTGAAGTCCAAGGAGTAAAGCTCCGTCTCTTCATAACTTCCTTCCAGGAACTTAAAATTGAGATTGCTTTGCCTGGAATGTTCCATAGTGTGGCACTAACTTACGAATTTTCTAGATGTGCCTAGGCCGAGGTCTGTGGAGAGACGACCCTGTTCACAAGGTATTTCAACGTAATTCTTCTTTAGCAATAAAAACATAAGGAATAAATGCCAGATGGATACAATTATGGCATACTTTGGAACCTTCCAGACAAAGCAGTATCCTCAAGATAAATTACATAGTGTCCTTAAAATTGTTAGTCTTTGTAACATAATCCCCAATTTTTACTAATGTTAGATGTTGAATAATAATTTTAAGACCTGGAGAATGGTCTCTGCTCTCTGTTGTGAAAGATGGGTCAAATGCAGACACCCCTTTTCCCTACAAGGACAACAGCCTACACATTACCTAGCCTATAAACAAAATATACATATTTTTATTTATTTACAACTACATGGTATCCAAACCAAGTTCCTGGTTACAAAGTAAAACTGTCTAACAAAGGTTGGTAACCTAGATTACCTGGCACACTGACTAGGTAACCTCCTAAGCCGTTTTTCTCTTATGCCATTTCCCCTAGTTAAAGATGATTCCATTTTACGCACAGAAAGACAAAGCGGTGTCAAGGATGAGTCAATGTAACCTGAGTCCATAAGCGTGCGGTGTGTCTGCTCCTGGCTCTTACCTGGTGCACGAACACGTCCACGCGCGGCTCCACCGGGACCCCATCCCGGCTGCTCATGGAGAGGAAGCCGAAGCCCATGCGCACGTTGAACCACTTGCACACGCCGCTGCCCCGGGACACTGGGGCGGCCTCCTCCTCCTCGCTCTGCGCACTGCCTCCTGCTCACAAACGGGACACAATATGGATCACTATGGAGATGGGAAAGGCGTGTGGGAGACGTTCACAACAGCAGGGTGACACACTAGCGACGCAGGATTTCCCCAAATCGGTGCGTCATCCACACGAAAAGCGGGCTGTCTTTTGAAAGCTTCTCAAGTTACGCTGGAATGGTCTACTTCCCTTTTCAAATTGCCACGGTGAAGTAAGAAGAAAACTAACTAAAACATGCATATTCTCTCCAAAAACTGCCACAGAGCGGGTGTCTTAGACAAAAATGGGGCTGCAAGCCATTTAAAAGCAGCCTTGTATTGTATGCCATGCCCATGAAATTAATGAAATAAAGTATCTTAATTATATAATAATTTATTTAAGAAGACATGGAAATGTAGAGTTCGTAAAACTCGTATTCCTGGGTGTCGGGTTCCTGTTACCTTTTGAGGACTTTTAATCATTCAGCAGATGTAATTTTTTGTTTTAAACTGTGAATTGCTATGGTAACAGTCCTTATTTTTCATTCTTCTGAAACTCAAGGATAAGTGTGTATACTGTCCCTTTATATCCTATACTACTGCACAGCACTGCAGAAGAAACAACCAAACTGCTCGACAAAAATGTACCACCAACCCTCATGCTACTGGCTCGCTCTCTCCGCACCATACCTTCTGCCATGACGAGTCCACTCCACGGCCTCGTCCAGCAGAAGCAGCACCGTAAAATCTCACATCCAACGGCCTGAATCCATGCTTTTCCCCCTGGTCCTCGGCTTTTCGGTGCTCATATGTGGTATCCTCGCGTCCTCGCTGCTCTCTGACCTCTCTCCAGGCCTGCACGATCACCCCCCTCGCCCCTGCACCTTCGGGTCAACTCCACGTGATCCTCAATTGGAGATAAATCACACATGGCTAATAAGATAGGGAGCCAAACGGTGAGGGAGCAGCCAATCAGAGGGCTAGATGCATTAGCGCCGCTCACATAAAAGAAAGGCCCTCTGGGAAATATACATCTGTGGACCCGCCCACTGTGCGAGGACTTGTCACAAAAGCAAAACGAAGCAAAACGTTCAGCACAGACACATACTACGTTTTTACGCACGTATTACGCACTAGCAAATAAACCCACTACCTTTTACGCACGCCAACAGTACACTAAATTAATAAAGTTTTTTTTTGCAGTGGGCTATTTTACACTAATCCAGATTACTACCATAACTGTAATATTATTATAGGCTTCTTCTGATAGTACAAATGGGTCTGTGGCCTCGTGATTTAAATGTACTTAGTACTATTGCAGAAGTAGTTATTTCCAGGTTTCATCACTTCATAGACTTATTAGACACTGTCATTTTTAAAGTGGTATCTGGTACCTGAGGTAAAACATTGTTCGAAAATCTCTGATTATGGCATAATCAATGGCAAGAAAAAAACAAAAAAACAATACATTTTAGTTAAAGGCACACTTTATAAAGAAGAGTGAATAATATCACAAACCCAACATTTGTATGGAAGTCCAATAGTACACAATAACATAACAATCTGTGTTTTGATTTAATCTAAAGGTGTGGAGTTTTGTAAGAATAATTTTAAAATAATAATAAACAAATTACAAAAAACAAATAGCAAAAAAGATAAAATTAAGTCAGTTGGACAAATTTTGAATAAAAGGGGAGATTGTTTAGAGTTAAAACATATTCATTAACCCTCTTTAACCTTTTTTTTTTTTTTTTTTTTTTTTTGCAACAAAGGCAGCTATGTTTTAGAAAAAAAAATGTCCTCAAGAATAGACCAATTGTCATATCTCTAATTCGTCTTGGTCTCAGTTCTCTGTCCACTAAATTACTTATCCTAAATATCTCATACAGTTACTCTTTCATGCATGACCACCCTGAGTATACTACCAGATTAGAGGACACCAAGACCAAAAGTTGGTGTTGTAATGCTGATATCTTTATTAACTATTAAGACCGCTGGGTTACATCTGGACTCATGTTACATCTCAGCGTGTCCAAATGGCTTTGGCTCGGGCAGTTGACTCATATTTGTGGGAGAAAAAGTGCGTTTGGATTTCAGCCTGGGTCTTCATGTATCTGTGACTCAGGAGTGTTGGGTCTAGAGCAGATGTACGTGGAGTCAGTTCATTCACCTGCTCATGAATATCTAATTAGGAGCAGGAGGAGAGAGAAAGCCACAGGGCTGAGTCATGGCTCTTCCAGTAAAGGACACAATGGGACAGCTTAAAACAAAGGCGAACTGGTGGTCAGGTTAAGATGCTGGGAATAGACAAACTGAAAGTTTTAAATAGTGAAATGATGAAAATCTTACATTACACACACAATTTAATATTTAATATCACTTTCATCATTCCAGAGAAAATATTTGGGCCAGTAGTGCAAAATATAGGCACATAGATTATTTGTAAAATCCTCATAATTCTATGTATCGCTATACACTGTGTTCATTATGATCAGAGGTGGGTAAAGCCAAACAGTAACTTTTATAATTTTAAGTGAATATAATTGGAACATTAAATATTGCACAAAATCTGGTAACACAAATATGCAAATAATTTAATATGTTGTCACTTGTAGACTTACCACAACTCGCAGTACTGTTACTTCAATAAAAATGTTTCTCAATTAGGAGTATGGTAAGTATGTACGTATGGTACTAGGGAAGTACTTTGAAAAGAATAATTTCTTTAGAAGTTACTCAAGTAAATGTAACTGAATAAACATAATTGAGTACTTACCACCTCTATGGTGATGATGTGAAAAATCAAGACTGAAAAGACCTCGGTGATGGTATTAGCAGTAAACATGATTTGACAATGAATTGAATCCTCCAATGAGTAAATGCGCTATTCATTGAAGACAAAAAACACATGGCATTCATAATTGCATGTAAAGTGATAAATTTGTTATGGATCTCAGTTAAATAGTTTGAAAAGAGGAGTGTCTTTCACCTGGTTGTGTCAAGTGCAAATTGTATTATTAGTATGCCAAACATCTACACAAATTAAAACACACAGGTTGGAGGATCCAGTTTACAGTTCATGGTAAAGATGGTTCAGATGACACTGTAAGGATGTTTGTTTCTGTTGAATGTGTCGAAGAGGACCAAGAATATGAAACAGAAAGTCACAAAGTCACAAAGTTTCATGAGTATCGCACTGACAAAGTGAGCAATGAAGCTATGGACTCTATGGAAAAGATGAGTGTCCTCACAAGTGTGTGTGTGCAGTTTTTAGATTGTGTATCAGTGTACATGTGTGTGTGAAAGAGGATTGTCTGAGTAGCATAGCATTATCTTTATGAGCTCCCATGCAAATCGAGAGAAACTCTGTCCTGTCCTTGAGTCCCAGCAGCAATGTATTGTATTCTACGAATCTGTGTCTTTCTAGTATCCGTATGTTGGTAGAATCAGAATCAGAATAAGTTTTATTGCCATTGTTGGTGAACAAAATTCACAAACTAGGAACTTGCTTTGGTGTTATGGTGCAATATTAAAGAAAAAAAATTATATAAGCTAAAATAACATAATGTAAAATAAGGGCATATATTAAATAAGGTAAAAAACAACTTTTATATATAAATATAAAATGTATGTATATATAATATAGGGTAGTATGCAAGTATAATTATAGTTCTTTAAAGTGACAGTGACAGCTGTTCTAAAGTGTTCAATGGCAGAGGAGAAGAAACTGTTCTTGAGGCGAGAGGTTCCGGTCCAAATGGACCATAGCCTTCCCCCAAGGGGAGGGACTCAAATGGACCGGGTCCATGGTGAAAAAGGTCAGCTGTGATCTGATCTGCTTGTCCCGTGGAGATGTAGAAGTCCTGGAGAGATGTGAGGCTGCACTGCAGTCTGTAGCATTAGTACATTGAGAAACAAGTTTAAAAGTAGTGCACACTGCTAAATGTAGATACTATCTACACTATGTAGATATAACCGTCTAGACTTGTACTAGATAAGACAGATAATAAAAAGGGGTAAAGTTTAGCCAAACTAGTGGGGCATTCACACTGGTTTGAGTCCAGTTTGGATGTTCAGTCCATGTCAGTCATTTGTCCTTTGCTCAACCAACCCATATTGTATTCTGGTTGTGCCATTTAACTCCTAATAGTCACAGGTCACAGAAAAAAAAAATATATTGTTAAAACAGTAGATACAAATTAGAATATTATTTAACATATGTATAAAATTTGGACATTGAATCACTTGTTAGTCACTGAGAAGGAATGCCAATATTAGTCCTAAGTATGCAGAAGTCAGATCTCTTGTAGCCCTAAACACATAAATATCACAGGTGACAGCACACGTCCTTGAGTGACTCCTTCACACATAGACTGGACCAGAGGAGTGTCCTGACCGATTTGAGTGAGTCCATTCATGCTCCGGATCTGATGCTTCAGTGACAGGGCTTTGACTCAGCGTGGAGAGGGGACTGTCCACCGGCTGTCCCCTAAACTCACAGCCCCTCCTCCCCTCCTGAGGTGACCCCAGCCCCAGGCCTGGGGACAAAAGCCTGGCACGTGTGCATTCAACCCCACCTCTGACCCCCCACACGCCTTTTATCTATACACTCATTCTTTATGGGAAGTCTTTGGGCCCATCTGCTCCAAGTTTTTTGTTGTCTAAATTAAGCAATACTTCCAAACTTGAAATACAATCACATGTTTATCTTATGGATTAAAAAGTACTCCTACTAAACTTTTGCACAAGGGTATTCTGTCATATTCCTTTCTATAGATAGGATTTAAAATAAACTAAATTAAAATCACTTGTGAGAATACATCTGGGTGATTTTAGTGCCAACATTTACTGTGGAATTCAAAAGTTCTGTTATATTATAAAGAAATTATTTTTCCATAGCTGAACAGTCCCACCTTAGCTCTATGTTGGTGCTCTGTGCTTCTAAGCTGCCAAGAAAAGATGCCAATAAACATAACCCACAACAAGGCACTGACCAAGGCTAGCTCTAGATCTGGAGTTGGGCTCCTGGGCACTGCTGTGTGGTCACCCAGTGCCCCTGTCTGGCTGATCCAGTGCCACTGAAGGATGGATCAAAGTGCACCATAAATTTAAAATGTGATACATTATACAAATCAAATCTATGAAAGTGAACCTATTAGAACAGAAAATGCCTATGAATTCAAAGACATTTAGTTATTTATAATCATTTGACAAAAATAGCATAAAATTTGATGAAAACTATTCATTCACAGATTGAGAATATAAGATAGAAGATGGGTACATTCACACTTGCACAAACAACACAATACAATTGGGTCTAAACTGCAACAAAACCTGGATCTAAAGCTATACTAAACCATTTGTAAACCAGGACTAAAACAGGACTAAATAGCGTTCAAACCAGGACAAGAGTAGACGCACCCTTAGTGTCATCTTTATTATTTCTTTACTTCAGATACAATGGTTGTGTTGAACCACAGCACAAAACCAAAACATTACTAAACATAAAACACAATAGTTCAGTTATCAAAAATCTACATAACATTATATCCCAGCTCATCATTTCCATTATTTCCTATGTGCTTGATATATTCCTCCATATGAGATACACCTTGAGCTCTGCAGTTATTAAACATATTTGAGCGCACACGTTGCATTTGGCTTTTCTGGGCTCAGGTCCCTATGGGGGGTCCTGTCAGCTGCCCTTTGACCCCCACCTCTGCGGGGAAGGCGCTCAATAAGCCTGATCAATAATAAATCTATACGCGCTGAAATGGTGTGACAGATACCCCTCCCACATGAAACCAACGAAACCAACTGCCCGGGGACTGCTCCAGGCCAGGATTTCCTTATGCAAAATATTACTGTTCATAATAAGATATGTCAAAATATGCTCTTTGATTCGAAGATTTGTTTGAGAGTCTTTTTTGGGTTGTGAATGTGTGTGGGTGGGTACATTTAGTATAAGGGATTAGTCTATTCAATGTGATGTATTTGACAGAATGAAATCAATACCAAGTTGACGTTGGCTATTAGAGATGATGGCTCTGACAGATGCAGAGATGCAACACTGGTAGTTATGGAAAATGTAAACAAAACATAACATGGAATATGGGTGGTTATAATGGAGCTCAACAGTGACTGCCCACCCCGGTTCTTGAAGTAAATTTTCCATTCATTTTTCCCATAAACCTTTTCAAAAATGTCAAATATTAAACAAAATGTGAGCTTTTATATAATGTTGTTACCTCATCAAAAAAATACCTGGAGCAGTGTTTTGTTTCTGTCACACATGTTTGAGTAATCCTGCATTATTAGTCTGTTTACATCACCAAAGCTCAAAATGCTCTGTTCCACCTTGTGATGTCATGAAGCAATAGTTTTCAAGTTAACAGCTCCTTTTACCTTTTGTTCTGTAGAGATTGGAAAGGTTGAAATCATCCAAATGATCCTAGTGAAGCTGTATGGAGTTTAAAACACAGTGGAGCACTTCCTGTATTACTACATGACATCACAAGTGGAAGAGTGTTTCCAGTATGGAAAAAAAAGGCTAAATATGCAGTGTTTGTGTATTAAACATGTGTGAATGAAACAAAAACACAACTCCAGTATGTTTTTTATGAGTAAACAACAACATAACATAGATTAGAAAACAGTGTAATATAGGACCTTTAAAAGTTCAAAGATATCACAGAGCCTAACCAGCTACGTGTTAACTTATATGTTTTAAGTCCAAAAAGCACATTTAAAACGCAAAATTCTGCTAAATGCTTTAATAGGTTTATAAAGTTGGGTGATCACTGTTGAGCTCCATTACAGTGTTGTGGATTTCAGTAGAAAGCATATTGTGTTCCTTATGATTTAGATAATGCATAAAACAACACTTGAATTATGTGAAATGTTCTGTGAAATGTTCTTCAAGAGTCAATATTAAGTGTGATTTTGGACACATTAGCCCTGATATTTCACATGTTTTCTCTGTTAGAAATGCTGCTCAGATTTACTTGTATTATTTTAAGGTAGATTTCAGTTCTATGAGAATGTGTCTGAAGGCATATATAGAGGAGAACTTTTTTTTTTTTTTATTTAAAGCCTTATTTTTAATGTGTAGCCTTATTTTCATTTTATCATAACATACTAGTGCTATTGTTCCATATATTTTTATCTTTCTACTGAGAGGAAGCTGGACAACGCATAGCTTCTTGTCACAGTTATTGCAGCACTGCATCACTGTCAATGCTAACTCTATGTCAAAAAAAATAATAAACATATTTTTAAAAACACAGTATTGGGTGAGGCACATTTTAGAGAGGAGGTATTTTACTTCTATGGGGTATTAATTGCTAACAGATATATGATATTTAGATCACCACCTTGTTTTGAAAATGCTTCAGGTTTGTCAAGTTGCTATGTACAGTTTTGTAAAATGTTTTTGTATATTTATGGAGAGATGTCGTGTGGGAGCATGAATGACATAGGCTTGTGAATTGAGCTTTGTAGATTTTTAGACCTAACTACAAGGAGGGTTTGAATAAGGGAGAGACCACTAAAATACTCAAACATGCATGGATGGCATCCCCTGTAAACTGCCTCTGCCTCTGTCTCAAACTGCAGTAGAAAATGTTGGCATCTAAATTTTTTACATTTTACATTTCATTTAGCTCAGAAAATGCAACTGTTATTGTTGTTATTATTGTTTGGACTTTCTGTCAGATCTGCAACCTGGCCAGAAAAACCCACCCACTTTAGAAGGGACTGGTCATGCAATTAGATGTGAATGCCATCTAACAGATAAGTGAAAGAGTTCGTAGGAATTACATTTCATTCCCTTTAAAATGGAGCACAAGATAGGGAAATTATGTTCAACAATAGGGTCTATTCATGCTTACGTCACAAACCACAAAGACGTTTGGAAAAATGTGATTACAACTTCCCAGGCCCAGTTTTCTTCATCTAGATGTCATTGTAACATTCTGTTATGTTCAGCTAATCAACAATTACAAGCAAACCTCAGTTTTCATCATTTCCTCACTGACAGACAACTCAGAACGCACTGGGTACATGCAATTAGAAGAGATGAGGCACCAAATTCAAGATGACTCCAAACAGCACATATGTTTACAGTCTTCATTTTACCGCTGATCACATTTACTTCAGTGGGTTTTATCACAGTTGGTTTTAATAGATCCATGTTGGGTGAGCCCAGCGTCAGTAACTACACCGGAAGTTGTATTCGCGTCTTTCCCAACATCTTCCTGGTTTGTGATGTAAGTGTGAATCGAGCCTATGAAGCCTATATCTTTGAAGGTTGTTTCTGACAGGACTGGTGCTGTCAACATGTGCTGGACAAGCAACAAGATAAGGTCCCTAAAATCGAAATTAAAGAAAAGCAAAATTGGAAAATAAATATATGAAAATAATAATTATATAATCATAATTTAATTAAATAATTGGCTGATATGAGATTCATAACTAAACCCAGTACATTATTTATTTGTGAAAGACTTGATTGTCTGCCTTACTGATGATACCTTCTGATCACTTGGAAATATTTGTATGTATGGTTTATGTTCACAGCATTTTAAAAAATGAATGAATGAATAAATATATAAATAAATACATAAATAAATAGCCATATATAGCTCTTTTGCAGATGCTCAGAGTCGCTTCATAATTTGATGTATTATTCATTCACTCCATACTCGGTGGTGGTAAGCTACTATTTTAGTCACAGCTGCCCTTGGACAGACTGACAGAAGCGAGGCTGCCAATCTGCACCAATGTGGGTGAAGTGTCTTGCCTAAGGACATAACAATAGTTTTTGCCACTTGCATCCCTCTGTAGCACCTGATTTTCCCAGCGGTTTCCTATCCAAGTATGAAACATGCCCAGCCCCGCTTAGTTTCTGAGATTTGACAAGATCAGTCTTTAATAAGATTTGGCCTCACAAATGAAAGAATGAAGTCTATGTCAGCACCTTGGACAGAGTAACATTTCAGGCATGAAGTTTAAAGATGTTAGGGGTATATTCACTGAATTATCAAGTTCAGATATGAAAATATTTGTGCAGTATGTTTGTTGATTGATTTAAAAAGAATAAATTAACATCCACCCACTTGGGTAAGTGAGTCCTACACGGAGCCTATTGGCCTATATAGGGTCTGTTACATAATAGTTACTTTGTAAAATACATACAGACTGCAGCGCTCTCTTGTGGCAGACAGACAGCATACGGTTTGCAGCGTCCTCTTGTGGTTGATATGGGTCAGTGTCCGTATCCTCAAATCTAATGCTGAACTGAGCAATGGTGTACAAAGCACTGCATTGTAGTGATGTGCCTGGAACAGCATCGAGGTATTGAACACAGCTGGACTGAATGAAATGCACGTGTAGACAATACAAAATAACACAGACCCTATTTGTTGCTTTGTATGTACTTCAGCCCAGTAATAACCGTCTAACTATGTCTACTATGAAAATTACACCACAAAATCTGAGTCTGCGATAATAGCGATCATAGATAGTTGTTAGCTGTTTCCTAATTTTTTTCTCAACATTCTACTGCAAACACTACTGATCTTCCGGATCCCAAACTCTCTCTCTTCATTTGCCCAATAAGCTTGGATTGTGATGACCACCAGCCAATCAGATTTGATCTGAATCAAGGCTAAACCCGCCCCGCTTGTGTTGTGCCAGGGTCGGAAATGCGCCTCTCTTCGCCTCCCTTTACGCACGACACATAGCTGTTTTTAGCCATTATTTTCTGCAGTTGTTGGTGAGAAAAGATGGGTTGAAGGCGCCTGGAAGCTTTAAACGAAGGCGTGTGGACTAACAGGTAAACGTGTTTGTGTAATTTATGCTTTTAATCTAGATCATTATGGAACTGTTGCGTGGCTTTGGGGATTTAGCTGCAAATGATGTGTTGAACCCTAGAAAATCAGTATGTGCGACGGTTATGGAAACCTGGAGTGTTCTGTCTCGGAAAGACTTCGACTCGCAGGTACAAAATGGTTTGGTTTGGTAATAGTTCGTGATCTAAGTGCCGTTATTGCAGAGATCGTATGGTTCTGGCTGCTTTAGCTCGATGCTCGGTTGTGGATAAGCTCTCACGGCGTGTGGGTGAAGCAACGTAGTTCAGCACCACAGACAGCGACTGGAGTCAATCTGGTTTATTCTATGTTTTGTCATATTTTAATCTTTTTGTAAAATGGTAGACAGTGGATTTCAGCATTAATCATAATTTGACTGTGTGTGATTTATGCGCAGAACGTTCTCTAACTTAGTGGCAACTCAACCAAAAGTAGGCTACAGGGATTTGGAGATATTTGAGTATTTAGGATAAGCCGATGCATGCACCGTTTTGTATTATTTTAAGACATGAAACAGCAATGTTTTAATGTGTTATTAGCTGTTTGTAAAGTTAAAGGTCCTCTCGTGCAGAATTGACTCTTGTTTTAGCATCCTATAATGTTGTTACCTCATCAAATGTTGAGGTAATGTTATGTTTCATTTCATTCAGACATGTTTGAGCAGCCCTTTATTACTACTTTGTCTACATCAAAATGCTTTGTTCCACCTCGTGATGCCATGAAATGGTAGTTTTCAAGTTTAAGTTTAGTAACCTAAACATTTTCCTACTTTTTGACACAGACATTCAATTTGGGGATACTGACAAATGATTTAATGTGTTAAAATATCTTATCATTATTGCAGCTTGAAATGGTTCTGTAAGACTTGAAGCAAAGTTATGTTTCCCAAAATATGATGTGGCTAATACCAATACAAAACAACACTCCAGTCTTTTCAGAAAAGCCTGAGTATTGAATCAATTTGCGTTCTACTATAGGCCTATTCACTGTAATGTTACCTCTCCTCTCATGTAAATGTATAGGCTTATTTATGGTAGCAGCTCTGATAACACACTCACTTTCAGAAAACTGATCCCACTTACAGCACTAATAATGCAAAAGGAAGTCTGCAGAGTGCAGTGAATCTGCAATGTGCTCTACTTTTTATTATTCTTAAACAACCAACTGAAACTGGTCTTCAGCACTTTATTTATTTTACTATTATGCTCTAACAAGAACCTTCAGCTCTGGCCAGGAAGCCCAGCTGGTCATTCCTTAAAAATAATGTTGTATGAAATTTGTGAACATTATTTTGATTATTTTATTATTTTATTATTATTCTTATACAAGTCGTGCTCCACTGTGTTTTTAAACTTCATACATCTTCACTAGAATCATTTGAATAATTTCAGCCCAGGAATTGCCAATCTCTACTAAACTAAAGGTAAAAGGTAGCTGTAAACTTGAAAACTTCCACCACATGGCATCACAAGGTGGAACAGTTTTGGGGATGTAGACAGACTCCAACATGTGAATGAAATAAAACACAAGTCCAGGTATCCATGTTTTTGATGAGGTAACAACATTATAACAAGGTTTAAAGCTCACAATAATCCATTTTGTGTAATATAGGAATTTAAAGAGTAACCTTATCTTCCATTTTCCAACACAGCCACCATGACTCGACTGCGGCGGAAGGCTCTGGTGGCCCTCTTCCTCTTCACCCTCTTCATCTTCGGCACCATGATGGGACTGCGCACCCTCAAGCCCAGCGACGGTTTCTCGGACATGGCCCCGGGTCTGGACTTCACTGGGGGGGAGCACTCAGAGCGCAGACGAGCTGACGCTAAAGACCTCCAAGCCGCATCCCCCCAATCCCAAACCGGAAACAGTGATACCAAAGTTGTATTCACCAGGTCTGACCGCGAGTAGCATATTTTATGACGTGCATATATTTTATTATCTGTGGTATGGGGCTCCGAGCATGGACCAGAAGTATATTCACTGGGATCATGTGCTGGTGCCGCACTGGGACCCTAAGATCGCAGCAAGTCATGCCCAGGGAAAGCACTCGCCTCCTGAAGACATCGCGGCCAGCTTCTACCCGGAGCTGGGGCCCTACAGCTCCAGAGATCCAACAGTGCTGGAGAATCATATGTCCCAGATAGAAGAGGCTGCAGCAGGTAAAGCAATTTATTACACTGCACAACACTACAAAATGTGTGCCAGCAAATGTTCATTTAATTAGGCCTGACTCAGTTAAAAAACAGTTTTCAGCAAGTTCCATTTCTGCAGCATAGGACAGGAAACATTCACAACAAGAACAGCAAGAACAGTCAGTGACTACAGGTGTAGGTCTGTCATGACAATTACCATATCGACTTATCGTTTCATACATGAAAGCTGGAACAATATATTTTAGAACTAATTATTGTGTGTACATTTTCTTTTCAACAATAGGCACATTTTGTATTATTTTATGATTTGAGCTGTAGAGGGTTGTATAAATAACTTTTATAGGTAAATTTTTGGTTCATTCTGCTATTTATTTGCTCATGCCTTTTAATAATACTGTCTATTTTAAAATTAGTTTATTGGGGTTGAGATTATCCTGCTTTGTGTCACTGCCATAAAGTAGTTTTAGTATTATCATTTATCATGATATTTCTCTCTAGCAATATATCCTGCTTCAAAATTGGTTATCATGACTGACTTATACAGGTGTAGCCTTTAGTAGGCACCTGTCAAACAGGGACATACACACTGGAGCCTGATGCAGTGGTGGGGGAAAGAACTTTGTCCAAAGGGGTTCCTAAAGGCAGAACTGGGAGCTGTTCCTTTGAACATGATCTAGTGTTCAGGTGTGACTGATCGTATTAAGCGTGCAGGGCAGGGGACACACTGAAAATGGGTTCAGACAGAGCAAAAGTAATTGGTAGGGATGAGAGACACAAGTGTTGTAGGATAAATTGAAGTAGCCTGAGAGTTGAAGAGGCATGACGCTGGACTTCTAACGCATTTGAAGTTATTTACCATCAGTACGGGACCCAGACACATGAATGCTCAACTAGGCCTAGGTCACGATAATTGCTTTATCGACTTATCGTTCAGTAATTTATAGATGAAGAATTAATTTTGGTGCTCAATTGTTATTTTTGTGGTAATACGATAAGATTTGACCTGCAGAGTATTGAAAAAGTAACTAATTATTGCTCAATAATGCTATTTATTTGTCATGTCTTTCAATGATATTGTCTATTGTAGATTATTCTACTTTATTTGTATTGTGTAAGTAGCATAAAATAGTTTCAGTATTATTGTTTATTTCAGTATTTCTCTGTAACAATATATCATAATTCAAAATTTGTTATCTTGATTGCTTTTATATATTGTCGATCGTGACAGGCCGTCTTGTTCTTTTTGCCCATAGCATTTATTTTTTTCAAGAAAAGTGAAGAGGAGTTGTATCTGTTGTGTCTTTATGTAGTTCTTGTTATGCTGTAGGGGTGCTGGTGCTGTCCTGGTATCCTCCTGGAGTGGCAGATGATCACGGAGAACCTACAGAAGACCTGGTGCCTGCTGTTCTGGACGCTGCCCACAGACACAGCATCAAGGTAACTGGTGAGAGCCCCGGTAGGTTTATATTTTTCAACATATTGATTGATTGATTTTGCATCTGCATGGTAAAAGTTGACATAATAGGTTTGTATTGTTTTTTACATATCTGTTCATACATACACACACACATACATATTAACAAAACAATAACAAATGTAGCTTGAAAAGGAGTGGAAAGAGGAAAAACATTTAAACTCTTGCCCGCTGTACACTTCCAGTCAAAAGTTTGGATGCACTCTCTTGTTCAATGTTTTTTTTTTCCTTAATGTTTATACTTTTCACATTTGATATACATACAGAAAACATCAAATACTTGAAGTAAGATATATGGATACCCTTTGCTTTGTCAAACAATATTTAGGTAATTATCTTTTTTCTGTCAAGTACTTTTGCTCTACAATTTTGTCTACTCGTCCCACCTCTATGCCTTACAATTGACTTTTGCTGCTTCGGATAGACAAAGAAGCTACATCGTTTCACAGTTTTAGTAGTGCTAAAGTGTATTACTCTCCACTACTGTCCCATTTGTCCCGCTCTGTCAGGGTTAGATGTGTGTAATTAAAAGGTGCGAGAATAGACTTGGATGCCCTTCCGCAGCAGACAGCCCCAGAGCAGAGACCAGACTGTTGGCACACACTGATCCATAACCCCCTCCAGGATCCAGCGCTCACTCCACTAATGAATCATAGACTGATCGCTCCTGCCCACTGCACTGGGATGTTTTTACACAGAGAGGACAGAGGTTTAGGGGTAAAAAGGGTATAGCCTCAATGTGGCAGGTTATTGATTAAACTTATTTAATTAGTGCTGTTATGCAAATATTTACATTTCAAACTCTATTTCGACAATAAGATAGACTCAATACTCAATACTCAACTTTACTTAGACAATAGACAGTAATTTCAACATTAAGTAATAGTACTTTATTTTCTATTACCATGTGGTGTATTTGTGTGAACCCTTAGTCATAGGTAGGTTCCACTGTGGTCCATGGATGTATACTAGTCTAGGTGGCTTTATTCTTGTACAGCTCAAGCTCATTCTAAAGCTATTCAGAAAAGGAATGGTTTCTTGATGAAGTGAAGTACATTGATCTCTCAGTCAAGGTAGAAAAGTGGTATTTAAATGTGACTAATTACCATTTACTATTTACTAGGGGTGTAACAATAACCAAAATATCTTGATATCGTATCGTCAAAGCTCTCACAATAATATTGTGGACCCTCACAATATATCGAATTTTAAGTCTCCTTGCTTGAATTAAGAGTTATGGTGCAGCCTTATCTTAAAAAGACACAGGGAACTACATAGACCATGATCCTTTGCTCCATTTCAGTGTAGAGTACATGAAGAAATAACAGTTCTAAGCGCTTTTAAGTTTTAGTTCTTTGGATTAAGTCTTGTCAAGGCATTTTAAGAGGAAAAAGTTGCATAATCACAGTTTTAGCTGTTTAACCTCCACAAAATATCACAGTAAATATCGTACTGTGAGATGTATATTGTGAAAATCATCAACCATATCGTGAGCTTTCCCATGATATCGCAATAAATATCATATTGTGAGACTTGGATATAGTTACACCCCTACTATTACATGAAAACAGGCAAAAACTTACTGAACGAGCAAACAACTTATTATCTTATGCCATATAGCATGTAACCACACTATGATATTTTTATAGTTTTCAAGTAAGTATTTATTTTCACAAGTTACATAACCAGACCTGACTGACTTTAGCTGACAAAACAGGAGGAAAGCTCTCACTCCGCCGTCATTACCTCCAACAGACCTGTCAGCCTTACCTAAGCGGCCTTTCAAACATCTCTGGGCTGTCTAGAAGGTCTGAGGTGGTGCCAACGGTGTCGCGTCGTCATGGTAACACGCCAGCTCTTTTCAAAGATGGAGACGAGCGTGTTGTTTGAGGTTATATGCTTTTGAGTGCAGTAAACATGATTTTCTATGGATGACAGCAGACTCCATCACACACGCTGTAAACTTTAAGACCGACTGGAGTGTTATGGGTGGTAAAGTGAGTATGTGTAGGAGCTGGTCTGGTCTATTGCAGTAAGTGGCTAATGTCTAGATAAGTTATGATTAGTACAAATAACAATAATGCATATTTCTGTTACTCTTGATTTGTCAAGTACAGCTTTGTAAAATAAAAGTATCTGTTGTATTACTTATAACGTCACATAACAAGACTATTGCTTAGTGTGTACTGTGCTATACAAGACTATAGGTAGCCTAAAATCAAGATCAACTATAGATAAAGGTGCACTATGTAACCTGCCTCCTGCTTGTCTCCATAGAGAAGTTACTGATTGCATCACACCTCAAAGTATTTAATTCAGCTAAATGTTAAACCAATGGTATTAAGTTTTATATAGCACTTTTCCACCTTCAAGGCACTCAAAGGGCTTTACTGCAAGGAACCACTCACCCATTCACACACAGATTCATACACCAGTGTACACGGACACTTGAGGCAAGGTGGGTTAAGTGTCTTGTCCAAGGACACAACAACAGCATTCATTTGCTCACTCTGTTTGACCTGTGAGTCAGTGGATCTGACCGTTTTACCAATGATGTTTGTGTTGAAAGCAGGATTCAAACCGCCAACCATTAGATCAGCGGACAGAGAGTCTACTAACTGATCTACTGTTGCCCCTTAAGATGCTAAACACTAAACATTAATTCAAAAAGTATTCTGACACTATAGTGTAATAAATGTATTTACCAGACCATTAGTGACTCAGCAGCTTAACAAGTTTGCACGGTTGCAACAAACATGGCAGATTTTGGTCAATGTTTTTTTGTTTTTTTGGGGGGGGTTTTGGACATTTGATTCCAAGCTTTATAAACCTAGCCATGTCCATGGAGACAAGCAGGTGATACTACAAGGCCAAGTTACAGCTCAGATATCTGGAGAGGCAAGCCCACTCATAGTAAGAATGCATGTTTTTCAAAGCAACATAGATAAGACTAATACCATTCTGTGGAACACTGAGGACAAAGCAGTAGCATTTTCATGGAAATTAGCAGGCAGAGGAAAAGTTTCATTGCCCAAATATTGCAGGTTTGGGCCAGCATATCAAGAGAAAGATATTTTATTCTAAAGGTAATTTCGCATTGCATACTGTCATTTTGTCCTTGAGCTGAGCACGTCACCCATGTTGCCTGTATGAATATGTGTTCAGTTTTTAAGCCAAGACCAGTATAAGCCGTTTTATAGAATTATATTTTTAATCCTTAGAATTAGTGTCCTCAGATAAACTTGTCCCGAGACAGTCTGTGAGAGCGACATTTGTGTCATTTCTCCTCCTCCTCTGCTCTTCCTCTTCTCCTCCTTCTATTCCTCCCTCAGAGCCATTTATCAGATCTCTCCTTTAGGCCAAGTGCACTGTCCTCCCTGCTTTTGTTACATACCAGACAAAGGACAGACTCTTCACTCTCCCAAGGCCAGCGCTGCAGATGTGGTTGAGAAGAAAAGCACTTTATTAAATGCCTATTTTTATATACTACCTCAGGGTTAGGATACAAACAATGGAAAGTTCTGTTTTTATTGGAGATTAAGTCAGAATTCCCAATGGAGATTGTTTGGTCACGTACTGTATGCAGTATGTTTGCAGGAATGCTAGTGGAGATGCTAGATTTCTATGCTTAGTGGTACAACATTGTCATGGTATGATCCTGATTTAAAGGGCCTATATTACTTATATTATTTTCTGATCTGTTACAATGTTATTTCCTCATCAGAAACAGACCTGGAGTTGTGTTTTGTTTCATTCACACACGTTTAACACACAAACCCTGCATATTTAGGCTGAGTTCTTTTCTCAAATGCAAAACACTCTGTTCCTCTTTGTGATGTCATGTGGTAATACAGGAAGTGCTCCACTGTGTTTTTAAACTCCATTCACCCTCATTAAAATCATTGACATAAGTTCAGCCCTGGAATTGCCAGTCTCTTCTGAACAAAAGATAAAAGGTAGCTGTTAACTTGAAAACTATCAAAACATGACATCACAAGGTGGAATTGAGTATTTTGAGCTTTAGAGATGTAGACAGACTAATAATGAAGGATTACTCAGACATGTGTGAATGAAACAAAACACAACTTTGGGTCTGTTTTTGATTATGTAACAACATTCTTACATGGTTTAAAGCTCACAAGAGTCCATTTTGTACAATATAGGTCCTTGAAGAGCAGTCGTGGTCTAGTCAAGGTCTAGCTACGGGTTTAGTCTCAGTTTATTTGACCTATTTGATATGTTCTTTATGCATGTCTCAGTGTCTCTCACTGTGACCGATTAAATCCTTCACTGAAAACTATGCCTGTCATGTTAATTACTATATTGACTTATTGTTCAATCAGTGTCAGATAAATAATGCTATTATTTACTGTGTGTGCCATTTATTTGCCTTAAATTGTAACTTTGTTTTGAATTATAACATCTGAGCTATAGGGGGGTCGGATAATCCACATCTACGAACCATTGTAGTTTAGTTTAATTGTGCTATTTTTTTATTTCAGTTCAAGTTCTGTATTAACATTTTCTGTATCAACACAGTTATAAATATTGCTACAGGTCTACTCAAGAGAATGATAACTGGTGAGTGGGTGGGTAAAAGTATATAGCTGTCTGTTTGATCATGAAAGTGCATTCAACAGAAAAAGGAGTGAATCAAATCATCACAAGCTTTCCAAATAAGAAGATTATCACAGGAATTACTATAAATAGTTTAAATCACCACAACACCAATCTCTGCATTAGATGAGAAATCTGTTTAAGAAATTGGCAGAGATCAGCCATTATAGATAAACAACTATATGGTATTCTATCAGAGTTAGAAGGGAGTAAGTGAGCTTGGCTAACTAAACTGAGCTATGGTCCTCTATCATGGTCCAAAATTAAACTGAGATGTAGTCAAGTAGGCAGGACAAACCATTTAAAAGATGCCATGTTCCTCTATTATGGTTCACAGTGAAAGTAAGATTGGACTAAATAAGCAAGACTAACCAGTCAAACTGAGCCATGTGTCTCTATCATGGTCAGTGAGATGGGACTAAATAGGTGGGACAAACCATTTAAACTGTGCCATGTTCCTCTATTATGGTTCATAATAAAGGTAAGATTGAATTAAGAAGGCAAGACTGACTAATCAAACTGAGCTGTGCCCTCTATCATGGTTCATAATGAAACTAAAATGGGGACTAAGTGGGTGTGACTAACTAATCAAACTAAGACATGTTCCTCTATCTTGGTTCATTTTCAAAGTGAGAATAGATAAGTAGGCAGGATTAACTAATCAATCTGAGCCACGTTTCTCTATTATGGCTCATAATAATAGTGAGATGGGGCCATTTAGGTGAGATAAACACTGAAAACTGTGCCATGTTCCTCTATCATGGTTCAGAATGAGAACAAGAACTGACTAAGTAGGCTGGACTAGTTAATGAAACTGAGCTGTCTTCTATCTTGGTTCATAATCAGAGGGAGATGAGATTAAATCGGGGGCACTAAGTATTGAAACTTAACTATGTTCCACTGTCATGGTTCAATTTCATTCATAGTTTGGGTACAGGCATACAAAGTACACAATCACTCTTTTCAACATCCAAGGTTGTTTTTTTAGCCTTGGTTTTTCTGTAACAACAGATGAAAGATGTAAGAGAACAGTAAAAAATGAATCACTTTGCTTACATAACACTCTGCAGGCTGCGAAGATTCAATAACCCTTTACATTCCAGGATGTTACTACATAAAATAACCTTTATTTGGTATTAAAAAGTATTACCTTTTGCAGGTGGCCTTCCACATCCAGCCATACAAGGGGCGGACGGAGCAGAGCATGCATGACAACATCAGATATATCATTGACAAGTAAGACTGGGGGATCTTTCTTTCTGGGTTCTCATCTCTGACGCGGTAACCTGATAAAGAGCCCTGGTAGTTAAATATAGATGCCTGCTCTGTGGATGTGGCTAAGCGGGGCAGCAGGAAGTCTTGTTAAATCAAGCTTCATAATGCATAAACATATATGGTGCACCCAACAAAATACAAAATAGTTCAACTGAGCTTCACTTAAAATGTTTTGCTAAATAACTGATGATTTCCTGCAAGCATCTCTTTCTAAATCTACAAAGATGACAAGCCTCTGAACTATTTTTGCAAATAATGAGCACAGCAGTGCACCTTATTTTTAACAAAAGTGGTGTGAGAAGTTCTTAGAAAATCATGTACCTTTTATATGCAAGTTAGAGTGGAGCTCAAAAGTGATCACCCACTTTGAGGTTCCGGAGGTAAATTTCCCTTTTATTTTTCTGTACTTTTTGAAGAAAAAAGGAGAAGGCTTGCTGTGAGCTAGTCAGCTATGTGGTAACTAATAAACAGAAGTTACAAGAGTCATAAAATATGAAACTTTATAAATAGTTAAATTATTCAAACATTTCCCCAAAACCAAATGTGTTTTGGACAGAAAATGATCACGTTATGGATGCTTCATTTGACTTTATTTAAATGAAATTGTATTGTATTGTATGTAATAAATGACTTGGGTGGGCAACACTCGTAAACTCACACCACCTTTATATGAATTAAATATGGTGTGTGGGTGACTGGTGGAGGTCAGAGAGGCCACGTTCATAGTCTCTTCATTTATGATTAATAAAGTGCAGTCTATAAACTCTGTCTTTTTTCCCTCAGATATGGAAAACACGGCGCCTTCTACCGGCTCCGTTCCAGCACGGGTCGCGTCCTCCCTCTCTTCTATGTCTACGACTCGTACCTCACCCCCTCTGACTCGTGGGCAGAGCTTCTGACACCCAAGGGCTCCCACACCATCCGCGGCACGCCCTACGACGCAGTCTTTGTCGCCCTGATTGTCGAAGAACGCCACAAAAACGACATTTTAGCTAGCGGCTTCGACGGCATGTACACCTACTTCGCTTCCAACGGGTTTTCCTTTGGCTCCTCCCACCAAAACTGGAAAGCTATCAAGACATTTTGCGATTCTAATAATTTGCTGTTCATTCCCAGCGTTGGGCCAGGATACGTGGATACAGCGGTTCGGCCTTGGAATAACCACAACACGAGGAATAGGGTGAATGGGAGATATTATGAGACGTCCTTGCAAGCGGCGTTGTCGGTGAGGCCTGAAATTGTGACAATAACTTCCTTCAACCAGTGGCATGAGGGGACGCAGATCGAGAAAGCGGTGCCCAAAAAGACAGCCACGCGCCTCTACTTGGACTACCTGCCCAACCAGCCAGAGCACTACCTGGAGCTGACGCGCCAATGGGCTGAGAACTTCAACAAAGAGAAGGACAAGTGGTTACTGTGAATATTTTACAGACATGAATAAAAAATTTCAAACGTTATAATAACCTTAACTAGTCTTGTAAAAGCACGAACAAAGACTTAGAGCTGATTTGTGCTGTCTTAAAGGCACTGTACCTGATTTAAAAAACTGAAAAGCAGAGCTAGTTTAAACAGTCTGCTGTGGTCCAAAAAGATTTGTCACTTACCTTATGGATTCATTTTGAAAAAAAAAAAAAAAGTCCGGTACTTCAGCTTTAATTCATAATGAACAAATAGTTTATTAAGTATGATTCAGGCTTAGTGACTACTTAAGGGTTAGGGTTAAGTTGTATGAATTAAGTCTTTGTTCATGCTTTATTTGACTAATTAAAGTGTAGTTATTATAAAGTGTCACCAAATCTCCTGTATTATATTACTTTATTATGACTTTTTGAAGCTTTTGCCATGTTGCAATGATGTTTTCACATAACTAGAGTTCCGTTTTGTTTAATTCACAAATATTGGGGTGTTCATTTTGTGTCTTTTTCTGCACTGGATGTATGCAAAAGTCTAACTTCACTGGACTGATTATTTTAGTACTTTGATTTAGCAGTTATTGTTTTAGCTTAATTTAAACTGAATCACTATTTACTTAGTTTACAAAAAAGAGGGCAAATCTATTGTCCAAATCATTTTCACAATATAAGTTATGTAAAATTAAATTACATAAGTGTTATTTTTTACATAAGAAAGGGCATTTAAAAGGACTTTCTCTACATGCACTCTACCCTCACTGTTTTATGCACTTATGCACAACATATTGTACAGAATGTCATTATATTAAACACTGACAACTGAACACATGGAGTTTTACAACAGTTTTGTCTGGAGAATTCTGTCTCATGATCCAAATGTCAATATAATTATGTTTATTTCTCATACACAGCAATTCGTTCTTGTTTTTGGATAGGGTGAATTGACCTAAAATGGAACACTTGGAAAAATACTAAATGATTGTGTTTATAGTTTGAATCATATTGCTGCTATACCACAGGATGTCATTACTGGAATTTGATGACTAAGTAAAAATCCTATAAAAACAGTAAAGAATATCAAGCTCACATTGTTTTTGGTTTTAGAGACAGACTTTGTTTCCTGGTAATTGATTTAGTTCCTGAATGTACAGTTAATAATTTCTCTTTTGCCTATTTTCTATTAAAACTGTTCCTTTCCTGTGTTTTTGAAAATAAAATTACAAGGCGAGTTTACATTACACTCTTGCAGGAGGTGTGTACATTTATGAATATTTGTACTATAATGCAAATGATCATTTAATGAGGAAACAAGATTTGCCTGTAACGTCCAGTTGAAGTAAGGGTGCCCTCTGATGGAGTGTTGGGTCATAGCTGCAGACTCTGCACACAGTAAGGGCTTAGGATAATGGCAAAAACAAACCCTCATTGATTGGTCTTGATATTAATTTTCCATATTAATTCTATTCTATCAAAGGTGGGTAGAGCAGAGTCAACTAAGAGTAATGTTACTTCAAAATAATACAAAGTAGTGGTCCAAGAAATTACTCAAGAGTAAAAAGTCTTTGGGAATGCTACTACTCAAGAGAAAATTAAACAGGTCATGATGTAACATGATTTACATGTAATTTTAAAGACAAAATACTAACTAATGAACAGAATCTGGCATTTTCAAAAGATAGGGGCAGTGGAAGAAATACAAACGTTCAAATGACTTAATATTGTCACCGTAAAGCATTTGCCACCTGTAGACTCACAGTGGGACAGAGTAACCAAATTTTTTAGTCAAGAAAGAGTACTATAGGAGCAAAGGTATGCCCAAAAAGTACTCTGAAAAGTGCAATTTACTCAAGTGAGTAAATGTAACTACCCACCTCTGACTATTATAGTTTGTAAACATAGACATGATGACCTTTTGAAATAAACCTCCTCTTGAACAAGACAGTGCTATCACTTTATTTCTCCAAAGTCAAACTCAACACATTAATAAAATTGTATTAGGAGCAAAGCTCTATTCTAAATTATTGATGCTAATTTTCAAGTGAACGACCCCTTTTGGCCTATAAGCTTTATTACACTGGACAACGGGCAGCTTGAATTGAGGAGAATAGTGCAGTCGAGTTTATACCAAATCTCACAGAAAGCATTCAGCAGCACAAACAGTGACAGTATTGTGTTTATTATAAGGATCAATGTTACCATATTACAAAATGATAAGGAAATGGGTAGCGATAAAACACCATTACTAATTACTTACATATAAAAAGCAAAACACGTGATAAAAAATGAACTGATAAAATGATCTAGAGCAAGCCCTGCCTCTTCAGATCCTCGTACGTCTTCTTGTTCACCACATTTCCAATAGAATCTTCATATTCTTCCTGTAATATGATAAACACAAATTAGAATATTACAAATACAATTGTGTGGTATCGAATTGAATGAAAACTAACCTCTGTGTCTGGTTGCCATCTTTCCAAAGCCTTCTGGGACTTGAGTTTTGCCCACACTAGGTATAAAAACAGCACAAATATAAGTAGTTTATATTATATTTTAAATTATAGGGTTCTGTTCAGAGTTCACAATTTAAACGTCTCCAGGAGAATTGACAAAAAGAATCAAATACGAACTGACAAACTAATACAAAAAACTAATTTCAGAACATGTTTATACAGATCTAAACTAGAGTTGTTTGTGGAGGAAATTTGAGATTTGCAACAATTGAAATTACAGTTTTTATTCAATTGTGGTTAATCTTGGAACCCGTGCATTATTTTTTCCTGAGAATAGAAAACTTACAAGAAACCGCATCTTCAATCTGTGTGACGTTGGCAAAGTGGGCTGTGTTGGGGATTCCTAGACAGCGCATTCCGTGAGCGTGCCTCCATTCCTGAAAAGCAGTTGATAAAAACAAAGATTGTACAGGGGTTGTGCAAAATTAAATAGACATAGTATGGGTTGATAAAACTAGACTGATAAGTAGAACTACGCTTACCGCAAAGTGTCTCTGGAAGGCCTTGGGTCCTCTGTATGTGTAGTTTCCACAGATCTCACAGTTGTAGTTGATGTTGAGCCCGTGGAGTTTGTAAAGCCAGTATGGGATGGGCTGAGGGGAACCAGAAAATACGATAAAGATTAAATGAATGCCAGGCATATAAACAAACCCTAAAACATTCAAAAATTCTAAAAGTCAAAGTTGACAAATTCATTTGAAGCATTAAGAACAACAAACTTGCAATAAATCAAATAATACATATATATGTATATATATTTTTTTTTTCAGACCGTTAACTGGACTACACAACAACAACAACAATCTACTCAACAATGCATTTCAATTACAGCCTGCTTTTGAACACAACTTTTCCAGAAACACTGCATTTGGAGACTGTAGAGCAGACCAACCTTCCCGTCCCAACCCAGTGGCAGGTTCTTGGGGTTGTAGATGATCTCGTTGTCTTCATCCTCACTTTCGCTCTCGCTGATTTGCTCCTCCTCCTCCTCTTCTCTCTCCTCCCCTGTGCGCGCCTGCTTTCTCTGGACATTCTCGTGGGTCAACTGCCTCTGCTCCTGTTGCAGAAAGGCCAATGTCAGTCAAACTAAAATGATGTAAATAAAATAACTTGATATATACAATTATTAACTTACTCCAAGAATCTCCACGTATTCATAAACTTGAGACTCCAGGAAGCCAATCTCCTTGTTACGCTCTGTGTCTCTGTAAAAGATATATATATTAGTAATAGCATCATTACTATTAGAATTACAGGTTTACATGTCTTTACTTTTTTGGGCCTTTGGCTTTGGGGTTCTTTGCAAACAGAGAAGGGTCCAACGACTCCAGGGACTTGCCTTTGGTGCTGAACAGTCTTTGAGCACGTTCTTCAAGAGTTCTGTCAAAACAAAGATGTTTTATATTACTTTTTAAATCAATCTGGCAAAGACTGTATACACATAATTTTGTTCAATATAATTATAATGATATAATTAATATAATTATATATATAATAATTTGTAATAACATTTTTTTCAATATTTGCTTTATTCAACCAGGTCCACTGAGGGTCAGACTCCAAGTTGAAGAGGAGTCTAGTCAGACTAACTGGCGCCAGTACACTAACAATGCTAATCTGTTTTGTAATTTACTAACTTGCCAAGCCTCACAAAGATTATACTACAGTCTTTTCCATCATTTCTTCATTCTGCTGTGGTAAAGAAATAACTACCAACGTGGACTCACATTTGCCAATCTGTGCCATTCATACACGCAAGGTATGAGAAGTGTCTTGCTGAAGGACAAAACAATATGCACTGGTCTGAAATGGACATTTCATAATAGGAGGGATATTTGCCTTTGTGCTCTAAGTGTAATTATTTTGCCTTCAATATATGTTTCTGCACTTAGTGCTGAGCAGCAGCTATTATTTTGAAATAACACTGCACTCAAAGCACTCAAAGAAGTCCTATGGGGACAGAAGCAGCCAAGCACCCCTGTACTCTACACCTTAAGCCTTTAAAAGTTCCTACTTAAAAGGCTTTGTTGGTCCTTTCTACCTTCTGAATGTATAGATATCCACTCATAACTGCAAGTTAAACACATCTACTTATATCAGAGTATCTACTGAGAGTGTCATTTATTTTAATAATTAGTTTGAGCTTACTAAAGAACAATGACAATACTTAGATATGCACAAGTTGTACTTACCCTCCACATTTCAACCCCAAAGCCATGAGAGCAGACTTCAACCTGTCCAGACCCAAAGAAGCCAGCTCCTGTAAAACAACATGCATTTAGACAAAACATTTTTACATATTACAGCTTCAGTGAATAAACATTTTAGTGTCTACCTCCCAGGACGAAAAAGCAGAAAGGTCCAGATGAGCTCCGGCATGTGTCAAGGCACTGCTGGCCTCTTTCTAAAAGGAAAACAGTTTTACATTTTATAAAACAGGTTGTGCCATAAAACATATAGGTCAAGTTATTTATAGGCAAGAAAGTCATGGTAAGGAGAAAAGATACCCACAGGCCAGCCAGGGAAGGAGCCATTGTCCCATTTCTTCTCAAACTCCGTCAGCACTTTATTGTACAGGTCGTTCTGGTCCAGTAAAGGTTTTACTCTGTCGGTATACTCCTGCAGATACTCCAGCAGCATTTCCAGATACCTAAAAGAGCATAAAAGGTTTTATACTGTGCCACTATTTTAATGAGAGGGTATTAAGAGGGTAAGGATTACACTTAACGAATAACATATTTAGATCACCATGTTACCTTTTATAGTTTGGAAAATGCTATATTTCAATGATTTTTTTAAAATTCAGTTTGCCTTTGGTATAAATTTTAAAAAATTGAAAAGAACCTTCATTGGTTACTTTGCCCATCTTTTGGAAGTGCAATCAATTATTTTACCATTTGTATTCAGAAATCATTTATATAGGATTTTTTGAGCTCCTCTTATTGTTTATGGGCATCAACAAGAGAATTTATAGATGCGATACATAAGGCATTTTAAACTGTTCTTTACACAAGATCAGTGGTGAAAAGTATTTCCCAATTTCAGATCCCTCTGTAAAGTTTGCTTTTAAATGAACTGTCGTAAATGTGTACCTTGGTTTGCCTAGTATAACACAAATCCTACCTTTTGTATTCAGCGTTCTTCCGGTCTTTGGGGATGTCGAAGAGCTGGTCGAATGAGGATAAGTAGGTGATATAGTCCAGTTTCTGTGGAGGAAAAGCAGACAGAGGTAAGTGGACTGGAGCTCAGAGCGGTGCGTGCAGTGAATTATTCATGTGTCCAAGCTGTGCACCTCAGCGCCCTTCAGGTTGATATATTTCAGGTAGCAGTCGTGCAGGTCCAGGTAACGGCCGTATCCTTCCTCATCTGTGAACTCCACCAGATCTGGGGAAATAACAGATTGAAATCATTTGCAGCCTTAAACTCTAGTGTTGTTTTTCTTCTAGGAGAAGCATTAAGATTTTGTAGCACAGTAAAAAAAGAATTTATTTTTGCATTATTGTTTGAAATTAGTTTTCAGATGTTGAACTGTGATGAAGCAAGAGCACATTAATGCAATCATAACATTTTATCATCATCAAAATCATTATCACAATATTATACTTAAACAAATGTAAATGTAATCTTCAATTCCTTTTGTTTGACATAAGATGACATATTATGAATCTTTCAAAGCGTTTAACTATGTCATAGTTGTTTCCACTTCTCATTTACCATCTTGAAATTGTATTGTATAGTATTTCATTCTCCAATTTTATGTTCTTAATCTACAGATTTGGCAGAGCTGTGTAATCCTTTGGTACAACTGAAAAAACCACACAACTTCTGCAGCTATCCATAAGAGGTGCCAACAGCTGCGCTGCTCTTGGTTGTGAAGACTGTTACGGCTTCAGGCCTCCACCTTCTCCTGTAGCTATATATGTTTAAGTCTCTGCTCCTAAGCTCTCTGTTTGTGTATGCATGCATACATCCGTCTGGCAGACCACTTCGGGTAGTGCATTAACTTCAAGCGGGCACCTGACTGGCTCCTGGGTCCATTCCTGCTCTTTGTTGCATTGCCCTAGAGTCTGGCCATTCCTGGGCCTTCACCTGCAGCTGACACACCTATATACGGACTTGCTCCCTGCCACTTCGTGCTGCCGATCTGTCTGAGCAGCATGCCACATTTACTGTGTCTCCCATGTAGTTTTTGTGCAACTTTGGGAACTCCGAGGCACTGAGCACATTCACTCCATATCCGGTGGTGATAGGGCAGCTGTGGTTACATTTGTAGCCTAGGGCAGACTAACAGAGCTTTAATACTAGGCAATATGGGTGAAGTGGCTTGCCTAAGGACAGAATGACCTGATTTTTCCCATGGTCTACCATTCAAGTACTAACCAGGCCTGGCCTTGCTTAGCTTCTGATATCTGATGGGATCAGGCTTTGACAAGCCAGTATAGCTTGTGAATTTGTTTTTTTTTTTTAGTCATACATTTAAATACTTTATTAAAAGTCACCTTTTGTTAATTATGGTAAATATCCACTTTCTGTTAGTTTTACTTTAACATTCCTTTTAAATAAAGTATAACTTTAGTTTGACCATTTTACATCTTGGGTTTCCCCTGTTCCTAGCAGAGTCGGGTCATAACAATGATGTTTACGGTGAGTCAGCGGCCTTGTTTTTTTTTTTTTTAATCGAGTCATTTTGGATCAGATTGTGCTTGTGTCATATTCTATGACATCCGAGGCTGAAATTACAACAAAGAGCCACGAGTGTCATAGATTATGACAATATAGGAGACACAAGCACAATGTCTTTTTTAAGGGGTTGACCAATATACATTTTATCAGCCAATACAAATATATCCAGTATTTGCTTGTTGTTGTGGCTGATAACTTATTATTAGTGACACAGTTTAAGATTATAAATTGTAGCTAATTACTAATTAATTATTAAGAAAAATAATAAACTTATTTCAATACCAATACCAATATTGTACCAATACATACTGTATATTGCCCATGCCTAATTTTGTTTCTTAATATAGTACTAAAGAGCAAAGAGGTCTTGGCATCAAATGAGTCTACAATAATATATAATATGTTTATTACTATAGCTATCATTATTCATGAACAACTTACAAAACCACTATACCACTTATGAGGTTATTATTTGGTATCATGTATAGGTAAACATGTTTGGTGCAGTTAGTGATTTAAAGCAATGGCCATTTATAACAACAGAGAGTTGAACCTACTCTGAGCTTCTTCACTGGGGTTCTCCTGGGCTTTAAATAACTCTTCAAACTCTGCCGACATCGGAATGGAAATCTAGGGAAAGAAAATGTTGAAATAAGTGAATGTTCTTTTAAGAGTTGACATGTTGAAAGAACACAGCTAGAGAACAGCACCTCATTTGGATGCTTTCTGTGGAACTCCTTTATGTGTTTGAGCCGGTTGTAGAACTCTGCAAACTCGTTTGGCCCCGAGATGGCAGCCAGTTCATCCCTCCTCATCCTGATCCAATACAAGGTTTGATAGTTAGACCAACAAACCTTTTACATGCCGTCTCTACCTACTGGTTAAGTAATCTTATTAATGATATAAAACATACCCATCTTTGTCTTCATACGAGTCTCTGAGGTTTGCACACACTTCCATGTACCGCTACAAAAAACAAAAGTGAATTGTTTCAATCTTCATGCAAAAAGAATGAAAAAACAGCTGAGCAAGTATTATAGTATGGCTTTATATTTAACACTGCCATTAGATACTTTTTATACAATGGTGGCTAAAATAGATACATATTATGAGTAAAACTCAATGCAAGATTGTACAGTAAACGATGTACCCATAAGTAGTAGTTTGTATATTTCACGTTATTAAAATATTGTACAGAATTATAAACCATATAAAAGTTAATTAAATGTTAACGTCAACAATTATATAGGCACGTAAAATAAAAACTAATGCACCAGTGTGTTTGATTGCTGTTAGCATGCCGGTGTTAGTATTTAACTAAATAAAACTTACATCCAACATTGCTCGTGTCCGATGATCAGAATTTATCTGCTCCCGAAGCTGCCGGAAAAATCAGATTTAAAAAATTAGACTTTTACGAATGAGATTTTTGAGTAATTAACATTATGCCAATGCTACAGCTAACGTAACAGCGAACTTCTTACCGTAGACTTTTTGTGTAACATTTCTTTCGTTTTTGCATCCATAAGTCGCTCCTTCTCTTCATGATAGCGGCGCTGTTGCTCTAAAATGCTTTCCATCTTTGTTTGTTTACGTAAACTTCAGCTAAATACAATTTAAACCTGATAAAGTACTGAAGCGATCAATGAAAAAAGCCTATCGTCTCGGCTACGTTTGTTTTCAATGGCGCATGATTGGAAAGCGAGTGCAGCGCAGTATGAGCACGTGGTGGAAACTGAAACAGAGAAGAAAGGTTCCGGCTTGGAGACTGGCGGTTAGTGGTCAGTCCAGGTGATGTCCAAAGCTTTTATTAAATTATTGGACAATTTTACAAATCTTTTCTCTCAATAGAAGTATTTACACCAGCTATGCATATAATTTAAACAACATTGAAAATGTATGGGTAATTTTGGAAAGTTAAAACAATAATCTAAATTTTCACATTTTCAGACATCAACAGGTGGAATGAAGGATGCAAAGAAACAACAGTTTCACACCAGGTCAAACTCTGGATTCTGTTTAATACCTTTTCATTATTTCCTTTGTAGTCTGTAATCATCAAAGCCATAACAAGAAAGCAGAACAGGGTTCGTGCGCCCTCATGTGGGGATCCATGGTGTGTGGGGACACGCATGGAGGCGGTCTGGACGGTCTGGACAGTCAAGTTAGATTATACAGAGAGATAGTATCGGAAGTAAACCCATGATCTCAATAAAATATAAAATAAGGTTTAAACAAAGGAGTTGACGAGCGAGCGAGCGAGCGAGAGAGAGAGAGAGAGAGAGAGAGAGAGAGAGAGAGAGATAATAACATACATTAATTATCAACAATACTAACTACAGACCAAGTCAAGTGTCAAGTGATTATTGAGTTTAGGATGAATGAATATATAGCGACCTCCGTAAAATGACAAATGTAATCTACAAATCATACAGGCGACAGAATTGAACTTCAGCGACTATAACTAGGCAATGGCTCAACTCTAGCTTGAAAGAGATAGGCCAGGTAAACAAAGTTGCCTCTTAACAGAAATTACTTTGAATTTTAAGGGTAACTTAGAGCAAGGACTCCGGATCTTGTTCTCAGAATACCATGTGAACCAGTAAAGAGCTACAGTCAGTTTATGTTTTATTTTCATATAACTGCATCACAGTACTGACTGACCATCTAACAATTTCATATTATTTCAGTTTCATAATATTTTAGAATAGCATTGCATGTCTGGCCCTGTATGGTTATGTATTTCAATTCTTTGTTGTTATTCCAGTACAGTACAGCCTAGTTGAACATTTGGAAAAAAATTTCCCCCAATGTTTTTTCTTCAACCTTTTTTAATGGCTAGATGTGAAAAGAGCCACGTGCTATGTGCATATGTAGGGTGTAAAACCTACTGTAGACAAACTTTATTGATCCACAAAGACACATGTCACAAATATATTACAATAACAAAGAGCTTAGGGCAAAAATAACAAGAGACTGGCGTCAAATAATTATATAAATGAACACAAAACCTGAACATAAACTCCCAGAAAGTCACAGTTTTTTTAATGTTAAATAAACATCATTGACACCGTGCGCTTTTATTGTGGCAGGACAATCCCCGTACCGGAAGCCTTGTGCGTAATTACAGCTATCGGGGCATTCGCGCTTGTTTGGCACATTCTCCAGCAGCCAGCAGCAGCAGCAGCTCAGTCAGTCAGAGCAGCGGACACCCCGAGTACGGATTATTACGGACTACACTGTGGCCATTGTAAACAGCATTCTTCCGCCGCCGTGCGTCCAGCCTGCGTAGCAAAGGTGAGCCGTGCCGTGCGTAATCTCCAACTCTTTACCGGAGGAGCCACGCACATTTATTACGTTATCTTCTTCCGAGAGAGAGGGGAGAGAGAGCGAGGGGATTGGGAGGGGGCGGCGGTGCTATCGGAGCTTGTCGGGGGGGAGACAGATCACAAGAAGGGGGTATCCTTTCTGTCTTTTGTGCGGCAGGAGCAAAATTTGGCAGCGCCGCGTTCTTGCTCCACTAAGCCTCCAGATAAGCCAAATTTCGGATGCTATTTGGTTTCGTGTTGTTCCAGCTCAGTGGAGGTGTCTTGCTGACTTCTTTAAAACCCCAAAGAAGGAACTGAGTGCTCCTTACCGCGGGGTGCTTAACATGAATGCATATTATGGGTGTTTTGGACTTAACTTTTGCACATATTAGTGGCTAAAACTACAGCTAGCGTGCACACACCCCGCGGGGGATGTGGTACCGAATAGCGCCATGGAAATTGTTAGCAGCCCCTTCTTTTTTTTCACGGTGTACACCCACTGCACCAAACGGCACTTAAGTCAAATATAATTACAACTTCTTAACAAGGTGCTAGTGTGTTCCCTAACAGTCTTTCTTCGATTACTGAGTTATAAAAGCGACATTACTGCTATTACATACGTGCAACCAAGTTTATTTCAATAAGTGGATTCTAGCGTGGTTTTAATTTGACGCCTTTTTTGTCGGCTGAACCAATTAGCATATCCTCTAATTAGCTTGAAGAAATGTTAACCTGCCTACTTAGTTTGGCATTTTGGCACATTTTATTTTAATTTTAAGTACTGGAAAGTGATAATAGGTATTTTTTGTTGTTGTCTGTGTTAATTAGGCTGATTTGTATTTATAAATTTAAGTTAATTTCGCACAAAATACGTGGCTAACTACCTCAATTATTGCTAGTTTATTAGCTAGCAATATTCTTATAATTGGTCTGTACTGTGCTTCTGGCAACTTTCTATCTATAACATTGCAATCGACAACTTTAACTTCATGATAATACTTTTGGGAAAGGCAAAACTTTATTGGTTAATGTAGGCCTATTTAAGGTCATTACATTTTATTAGCTTGCATTGTACTTTGCTTTACAACAGTGCAATTTGCCAACCTTGCTCTCATTCTATTGTAACAAACAGCTGGTGGTATGCCTTTTAATGTCACATCATTTAAAATCACGCTCCTGTGTTGCCATGACCCATATAATCCTCTATTACCCTCCATCACAGCTCCAACACCGAATGTCTAATTACACCACATTTCTGCCCTATTTGTAAAATGTCAACCGCCCCTCATGTTGCCAAATCCGCTGCCATCATCATGTTTGCTGTAACAATCTGTGCTTGCTTCTTGTGTCCAATAGGCTATTCAAGTAAGGCTGGCTCACGGAAGCCCTCTCATCAGCACCATGCATTTTTCATAGCAGACCGGTAGAATGCAAATACACCCATTCACCTTGAGGTTAACACTCTCACCGCAACGCCGAAGAGAATGGATTTAGTGAACACGACCTTGTGTGCGACTTTCATTTCCACGACTCCTGGCTTGTGACCGGTTGAGGTTCAGCTTGGATGATCCGGAGGAGGACAGCTCAACTTTTCATTATCTATGGCTATTCTCTTAAACCGCGGCCAGCTAAACCATCCTGACCGTTGTAGGGGTATTAGCTTGTCATGTTCAAGAGCCATTGACAATGACAGTGTTATTACACTATAGTGCCCTATTGTCAGTCAGACAGTTCACTCAATAGCCGTGTCTCAATAAAACTAAGTGAATTCCTGAAGTGTTTCCATACACGATGTTGTGCATTGAAGCAGTCCTAGCTGGAGACTTGTTCCATCACTCATCCACCCACTCACCAACAACAGAGATCTTTTACAGTCATCATAAAACCCATAATATCTTAAACAATAGACATTAAAGCCCCACAGTGAAAAAATAGACTAAAACAAAAGCATGTCATTTAATTTTAGATGGTTTTCTTGCACTGAAAAACGTAGAATAACATTCTTCCATACTGTGAGCGTACTTCCATCTCTTCAGACCTGACTTTTACTTGGCCTCCTCCTGCTTGTCTTTATGGAAATCCTGTTCCTTTGACTCTAAACTAAACTTCCAAAATATGACATCAAATTATCCATATCCACTGCGAATGCTCCTAAGGATAGTGTTAACTTTCTATTTTCTTGGACTCAAAACTACAGTTACACAATGCTGCTTTAGATTGAATAAAACACACATTACTATTGTTGAAAAATGGCTGATATGTCATTCAGCTGAGATGCGTACTACTTGCTACCACTTATTCTAACTAACTCATTGGACATGATGAGACATACACATTTGATTAGTGTCTTACAGTTACTGGAAAGGCTGACACCAAGTACGCAGACAACCATTATCATTACTACAAGCAAGGTTATGTACTTATTGATCAATTGCCCGTCAGTGACATTGATAACCTTTCCACTCCACTGCTCCCACAGACCATTACTGCTATTTGAAAAACTCAACTAATTGCTTATTGTATAGTCTAACAAGTAGTTGTTAGAGTACATACATAATAGTGACACATTTTTGCCATTTTTAAGCAAATAGTTTGACTTATAAACTTTTTTATTTTAAGCATTGTAAGTATCTATTTACAGAAACATTTTGTAAACATTCTAAAAACAAATATATCACATTTGCAATGGTTTCAGAAGGATAGAAAAACATTTATTTCTGCTAAGAGAGGATGAAAAGAGAGTAGTTGTCTCAGAACAAGAAAACTCCAGTCTGAATTCCAAGCCATAGCAATCACCTATAAATTCAAAATCCTGTTAAGTCATACTCCGTTAGCCTGCCTGCTCTCTATTGAAGCAGATCATTTAGCAATACATTTAGTCCCTAATACAATTCTCATTTCCCTATCCAGCCAACTGTCAAATTGAGTTTGAGCCTTGTGCTTCACAGAAATTGAAAACATTTAAATCATGCTTCATTATTTTCTATAGAACAGCTGTAAAATATGTTTCTCCAATCATTTCACCCCAATGTTAACCTGATTTGATGCATTTCGTTTTGTGTTTCCTAAGCTGTACTCCTCATATACTTTCTAAGACAACTCCAGAGGGCTGCACCAGCGTAACTGATTCCTCATTTTACAGAACTAAAACATTGAATCACTTTAGGACATAATATTCATTCATATGCCCAAATAAACTGCCGTGCGCCTTTATAGATTCATTACCGGAGCCTGCATATGCGCGCGTGATTGTGCATACTCTACAATGAGCAGCACTGCGCTTCTACGACATAATTCGATGCAGCTGTTCTCATTTACATAAAGGCCACATTTCCGTTTTAAGGGACTCTGTGATTTGCCTGCCAGTGTTCACTTTCACTCCAAAAAGCGTATTATTTAAACATG